TATAATGGATTTGTTATTTGATTAAATATTTTATCGCTTGATAATGAAGAGTTGTCTATTACGTAGTCCCAATTACGAGATTCATAAAAATTAACAGTATCATTCATCCATTGATAGTTGTCTTCATTATATTTTTTTCTTTCTGGTTCCCTTTCAAGACGCTCTTGAATTCTATTCCAAAGGGTATTCTTGTCAACTTTTAAATATATTGTTTTGATATCAATATTTGTATATTTTTTTAATTCTTTAATTTGTTCTGATATGATTGGATCTAAATAGTGACCATTATTTTGACTGTACAAAATGGCGGAGTATGGTGATCTATCTGCTATTAATACTTTGTGATAGCTATTATTAAAATTACCATTTAAATGTTGATTATTTTGTTGTGATTGTTGGCTATTTTCTATTTGTTCCATTTTTAATAATCTTTGAAACCAATTGGATACCCAAACTGTTTCCATTGTTAATGTCTGATTTGGGATGGAATAGGATGGCATATCTAAGAATGCTTCATCTAGTACTGTAAAACCGGCTTTAGAAAAATATTTACATAACTCAGTTTTACCAGAACCTAATAATATAAAATAATTAAAATTAGTGGGTGAACAAAAAAAAAAAAAAGAAAAAATTATTAATTCGAAAAATAAAAAAATTAAAAACAAAAATAAAAAAATTAAAAAAAAAAATAAAATAAAATAAATAAATAAATAAACAAATACACAAATACACAAATAATTAAATGAAACAAATAATTAAATGAAACAAATAATTAAATGAAACAAATAAATAAACAAATAGAAAAAAAAAATTCAATTAGTAATAAAAATGCAATAATAAATACATAGCTAATTATTTTTAAATAGTAAATAGAATATGATGAAAAAAAAAAAAAAAAAAAAAAAGAAAAATTTATTAATAACATACCATGACATCCTTCAAGACATAGAACAGTAATCATTTTTTTAGTTGCAGTTTTAATTGCCATTATATTTATTATAAATATACAGATAATGTAAAAAATAAAGGTATGTGTATTTAGTGGAAAAACAAAAAACGAAATTAAAAATTATTTTAGAAAAAAATTAATTTAAAAAAAAAAAAACAATTATCCGTTATAAAAAAAAAATAATTATTTATATTATTTAAAATTATTTTTTGAAATTTTCGAAAATTAACGAAATGATTAATCATATATTGTGATTTTTTTTTTTTTTTTTTTATAAAAATTTTTATTGATTTAGAATTTTTATAAAACATATACTTTTATAGTATACAATATATATATATTGAAAATAATAAAATACATATTTATTATTTATTTATTTATTAATTTTATATTGGATTTGGAGTTTCTTCAATTGTACCATTTTTATTAGATAAAACTAAAGCAACTTGATCGGCAAGATAAGATTTTCTAATTAAATGTTCTAGGTGAATTGGAATTGGTTTGCCAGCTTGTGATAAACGTGAAAAAATTTGATACAGTATCTCCTCAGGGAAATAATTGAATATTGGTACATATTTGAAAATATCTTCAGCGATGGTTTCAATGCAGAGTTCTCTTAATGATGAAACGGTTTGATCTGGTTTGAAGCAATATACATCTATCATTCTTTTGTTTTTGAAGTATCCACCCAAAGTATACATTTTACCATTATACACCCATGCACTATGCAATTGTCTACAACATGGTACAACGGTTTCTATTTTTGGGCAAACCCATTTCATTGTTCGAGTATTTAATATATATAAATCATTAAGTTCTTGATGTTTTCCCCATCCTCCAAACACTATCATTGATTCTCCAATTGCAACAGCGGTATGTAGTTGCCTTGGTATGGGGCAGTTACCTGATGTTGGTGGTTGTGACCATTCCATTGTATCTATATAGGTATAGTTAGGGTTAAATTAGATATTAAAAATTATTGTTTAGTTGATAGTAATGGTGTTATAATAATATTTACCTGTATCTAAAATATAAACTTTATTATCCTTTCTTTTATCGTTGGAGCCACCAAATGTAATTACTTTTTTGCCGAAACTACACATTGTATGACACCATCTTTCTGATGGTGGAGTACCTAAAACATCATGCTTGGTCCATTTCATTGTTGTTGTATCTAGTGAAAAAAGTTCGTTTGAATAGCGTGCTCCACTTCCACCAAACAATATCATTCTTTTACCAACACTACAAACCGAATGAGATGAACGTGCTGATGGTGCCTCACCAGATGTTGTTGGTTCTGACCATGTAAGTGTTTCTAAATCTAAAACATGTAAATCATTTAAACATTTGGACCTGTATCCACCAAAAATAAACATTTTATCTTCAATAATAATTGCAGAGTGTCTGTATCTTCCATTTGGGGTAATTCCTTTTGTTTTTATCTCTACCCATGTAAATGTGTCTAAAAATAATAAAATAAATTAATATTAAGATTTTTTTTAAAATAGATTTAAACACTTCATTACCCAATAAAAGAAAATAAATATCATTTAAACCATGTGAACCATCTGGAGTTCCTCCAAATAAAACTACTTTGTTTTTATATAAGCAAGTTGTATGACCATGTCTTTCAACAGGAAATAAACCATTTTGTTCATTGTTATTGTTATTAGTTAAAGAGTTTAAAATATTGGTATTAATTAAATTATTTATACTATTATTGCTACTATTACTTAGTGGGTTGTTATTATTGTTATTTATTATATTATTTGCACTATTATTTAAACTCGAGCTTGTGCTACTGCTACTGCTTCCACTATCTTCTACTAATTCCATTAGTTGATCATTTTGTTGTGATTCCTGGAGATGCTTTGGTATTGGGTTGATTGCTGGTGGGGGTGTTAAAACTGTTTGCTCTACTGGAGTATATGAAACTACTACATGTGATTTATGTGTAGGTACCAATTGCCATCCATTTAATGAATCCTCTGATTCGACAATACCCATTTTTAGTTTATTATTTATTATTATATTGTTTATTATTCTTGATGATATATGTAGAAATTCCAAAAAATTCTTTTTTTTTACCTAATAATTTAAACCTAAGTATTTTTTTTTTTAATTTTAAAAATTTTAAAATAATTTATTATTAATATATTTTATGATTTAAGGGTAATATTAAAAAAAAAAAAAAAGGGAAAAAAAAAAAAAAACAAAAAAGAAAAAAATAATTTAATGTTATAATATAAAAAATAATAAATTATACTATATTAATGCATTTTATATTTGTTTTTAATATATATTGTTATTTTTTTAAAAAAATTATTTTAACACAAAAATACTATAATTATTGTTATTAATTATTATTCTGATTATATAATAATACCTTTTTAATGGGTGTTTTTGTATATAAATTGTATTTTATATTATTTTTAAAATGTGTAAATAAACCATAAAAAAAAAAATAAAAATAATAATAGTGATTTTTTTTTATTATTAAATTCTTTTTTAATCTAATGTTAATTTTTTTTTAGATTTATTTATTTATTTATAAAATATATTTATTGTCATAATAATTATAATAATTGTTATGCTTTTTTGTTATTATAATTTTAAAGTCTATAGAAAAAAGATTTTTTTCTATTTTTCACTTTATATTGTTTATTAAAATCAACATTTTTTTATTATTAATTTAATTAAAAACTAAATATATAACTATATAAAACACCACTTCACATATTAAAAAACAACAGTTTGAAAAGGGACAAGAACAAAAACAATATTTAAATTTTATATATTTTTATTATGTTTTTTTGGAAATTCGTGAATGTAGAATTATTAAATTAATTTTTTAATTAAAATTTTATATTAAAAACAATATAGTATATAGTTACATTTATTATATATTTATTATGTTTTATATATGTATATTAACTCGATAGATATTATACCACAAAATACAAAATTATAAACACACACCCCTAGTTTAAATTTTATACAATTTTAAATTTTTTTTATAATAAAACGAAAGAAAAAAAAATAAATTAAAAAATAAATAAAAAATAAAATAAATATAATCAGTGTAATAAACAATAAGATATTTTTTTTTTAAAAAAAAAATAGTTATTATTTTTTTGTGAGTGGGTGTCTGGGTTAAAAAAGAATGAATGAGTTGAAAATATCTTTTGTTGTGGGGTTATTGAGTTTACTAGTATTATTATTTATTTATTTTTAGGGAAAAAATATATATTTGTATATCTTTATAAATTTAAAGTTTTTTTTTTATTTATAATTTATTATTTATTTATTTTTTGTGTAAAATAAAGGATATGAGTTTTTTTACTGTATAGTTAATTCCACAAATAAATAATATTTGTATTTGAAAATTGATTGTAAAAATATATTGTAATTGTTTTTTTACTTTATAGTTATTAATGATTAAAGATTAAAATAATATAAATAATATTGTTATTAGATGATATTATATAAATGAAATAAATGTGTTATTAAACAAATACAATATTATTGTATTATATCGTGTTTATGAAAACTTCATAGACATGATTGGTTTTATTTTAATATTAAATTTATATTGTGTGTTAACATTGTATACTGTTTTAATAAAAATAGTAGTAATCACAAAATTTTATTTTCGTGAACACAGTGTAAAAAAAAAAAAATAAAAAACAAAATTTATTTTCTTACATCAAAATAAATAAAAAACGAGGATAGGAATAGAGATATAATTATAATATTGTTGTAACTATTTATTAGTTTTTATTATATTATATAAATGTAAATATAAATATTTGAATAAAAATTATTAAAAAATGAAAAAAAAAAAAAAATTTTTACAAAAATATAAAATCATACATTGAAATTTTATTAAACAAGAGTAAACAAATTATTAAAAATTCAACATAAATAAATGTTAAAAAAGATTTGAATTTTATTTTTTTTTAAAAAATTTTATTGTTATTTAATAATTTTTATTTTAATATTAACCCACTATAATTTCGAAAATTAATTGTGCTATTTTTTGAACTGGGGTGCTGCTGGAATGAAATGAAATAAAGAAACGAAAGTATATTGTGGGTGGGTGAGAGTGTTGGTGTGCTAACCTATGTTTTAATTATATTTTTATTGAAATTTATTTTATATTAATTTATTCCCACACACTTTTAAATTAAAATATAAAAAAAAAAAAAAAAAAAAGATTTTATATTTACTTTTTTTGGAAAATCCCAATAAAGTTTTTATTTATTTTATAATATTTATAAAATTGGATGTGTATCTTTAAAATCGATGGTGTTATATAATTTGTACAATGTAAAATTAAAGTACTATAAAAAGGTGAACATGCAAATCTAACAACAAATATATTTTGTTTTTATATAAATAAATATTATAAGTAAAGGTGGGTTTTTTTAGATAATTACCTTTGTGTATTTTATTTTTTATTATAAATTAAAAACTATTTATAGTTTATATAATTTTTTATTATTTACATGTATATATAAGTTTATAAAAAGAAAATGATGATATAAAAGTTATTATTTATTTATTAAAAAAAAATTGAAAAAAAATAAATAAAAAAAATTATAATTATATATATATTTGAAATTAAAATTAAAATTAATTTATCTTTTATTTATAATATTACTTTTAAAAATAATTGTTATTAAAAATTTTTTATTATATTTTTTTTATTTTTTTATTTGAATTTCTTTTCGCTTTATTAGAAGCTCCAAAAGAATATCCAAACAAACACATATTTTCATTATTTATATTAAAATTAAAAATAAAAAAAAAAATTTTAATTTAATACAGATGATGTGCTTTTTTTTTTTTTCTTTCAAATAATTTTTTTTATTTTTTTTTTAAATTTAATTTTTTTATTTTTTTTTGAACACTTTTTTATTTTTTGAAATTAATATAATAATTTTTTTTTTTTAAAATTTATATTTTGTATTAAATCGATCAGATGAATGTAAAGTTTAGTACACAAAGATTCCCTACCAATCGTAAGTTATTTCTTTAAAACCAAGCTTGGCATTATGGTTATTATTAACCATCAGTTTTTTTTTTTTTTATTTTATTCATAAAGAGTATGTTAAGGATGGTACAAATTCAATTTGGGGATGTGTAGTTCAACCATTAAAAAACACAAGTATACAATGTCATGAGAATTCTAAAAATATAGGTAGATGTAGTAAATGTAATGCATATATAAATAGTTTGGTTGTGTTTGAACGTGTGGGATGGGTTTGCAATTTATGCCAAACTTTGAACCCAATAGACTATGATATTGGCAGAGATGGTACAAGATCAAGATATGCAACACCTGATAGAAATAATTTACCAGAACTATCAAACACATCATATGAATTATTTGTAGAAAATAATTTCAATAATAATACTACAGCAGATAGAAATAATCAAGTTGTTGACGGTTCAAACGAAATTAATAATTTACCAGACTCAATACCATATTCAATCATACCATTAATTGATAACCCAATTTATATAGCAGTTGTTGATTATTCAGGCAGTAAAGAACAAGATGAAGTAATAACATCAGGTTTAGAGGCATTGGTTCATGCATTACCAGATAATGCATTGTTTGGTTTAATTGTTTTTTCAAAGAAAATTGGTATTTACAATTTAAATACTTCAACACCATTAATAAAGTTCATAGATTCAATCGATCAAGTTGATGATTTCAATTTTGATGATATAATACCGTTGGAAAAATTTTTGGTTAATGTAATTATTAGAAATTTTTTATTACTATAATTAAATATCATACCAACAAATTTTTTATATTTTCCTATTTTTAGAAAGGCAAGTTTGAATCAAATATAATTAGAGCAATTCATTCAATTTCACAAATTAATGAGACAGTTTCAAAAAAAATGGTACCACACGCTTTAAGTCAAACTATCGATTTATTATTGGACTACATAACTATAGAACAATTTAAACCAAATGGTAATTTTTATATAGAATGTAAAAAAACGATTAATTAATATATTAACATATTTTTTAAAATATAGTTAAAATTGGTTTATTTTTAACCCAATACGCAGGTGAATTTAAATTAAAAAAAGGATTTTCGTCAATACAAGATTTAGTAAACAACTATGGTAAATCAGAATTTTTAAAACCAGCTACAAATGTTTATAGGAAGCAATCTGAGCGTGCAGTTGAATTGGGCGCTCATTTTGATATTTTCGCGATTGGTGATAGATATTTTGGTTTCGATTCAATTAAATTCCTTTGTACAAATACTGGTGGTCAGTTATACAGATATGATAAATTATTACCAACATGCTCTTTGCCACAAGATATGTATGTAAATCATAGATTATTATTATTATGTTTTCTATTATTTTATTAACATTTTATTATCTTAGATTTAAACTTGTTTCCACATCATGGGGATTTCATGGTCTCTTAAGAGTTAGAAGTAGTAAACAGTTTTCAATTGATCAAGTTTATGGCTCAATTTTACAAAGTCAAAAATTTGAAAATCTTTATCATATAGAATCATGTTCACCATTCACAAGTGTAGGATTTGAATTTAAATTTAATAGTTTAACTAGCAGATTTTCACCGTAAGAAATTTAATGATAATAATTAATAATATTTAATAATATTAATATTAATTTTTTTTTTTTTTTAATTATTTAGCGATGAATTACCAAATTTACAAATTGCATTTTCATATTCATATCTACCATCAATTGAACAAATTAATCAAAATTCACCAACTTTAGGAGGTAGTGGTGCCATACTTGGAAACAGTGGTTCATTTATGAATAATAACGATAGTAATAGTAAAACTAGAAAAATTGAAAAAAGATTGCATATTTTTAATATTAGTTTACCAATTTCAAATACAGCAGAAGATTTATTCAGCTCAATCGATTTAGAAACAACAATATCATTAATAACTCAAAAGGTTATAAGAAACTCATTAGAAAATGGTATTACAAAAGCTGGACTAATGTTGAAACAATGGTTACACGATATATTTTATTCCTATAACGAAAATGTTGTAATTTTATCAAAGGTTACCTCTCAAGTAGACATAAATTTCTCACAAATGACCCATTTAAGACCATTACCAAGATATATATTTGCATTGTTAAAGAGTCCCATCCTAAGGAAGTTTACAGTTGATTTGGAAGAAACAATTATTAAAAAGAAGTCTGATGAATGGATATACCATCAATGCCTATTCTCATCATTAGAACCAAGGCTCCTTCATAGAGCATTATATCCAGTTTTATATAGCTATGGTGCACCAAATAATTTAGCCTCAAAATATTTACCATTATCAATAAATACAATTCTAACAAGCACAAGTAATATCTATTTAGTCGACTCATTTGACAGTTTAGTAGTATTTTATAATTTACAACCAGAGTCTCCCCAACAAACCCAACAACAATTACAACATCAATTCCCACCTCCACCAGAAAGTTTAATTAGACAAACAATTTCGAGCAGTAAACAAGACCGTTTAATTGTTCCAGAGATTAAATATCTAAAAGGTAAACTAAATGAAACTCCTGAATTCTTAAAATATTTAATAGAAGAGGAAACCAATGCTGGTGAACCTTATTATCAATTTTTAAATGAAATTGGTAAACAAATACATGAAAATTTAACATCTTAAAAATAATAATTCTACAATTAAATAAAGTTTTATAACACTATAGTTTTTTTTTTTATACATTTAAAATATATGATTTAAATTTTGTATATTTTTATTTTTTCTTTTTATTTTTTTTATTATTATTATTATTATTATTCGAGTTGGTTGGGCTAATTAAAATCGTTGCATCTTTAATTTCATCATTTTCATTTAATGTTTTTTGAGCTTCAATATAAAATCTAAGATCTCTTAGCTCTTCGGAGAGTTCTTCAATTACCCTATCCTTTTCCCCTTCTGTTTGCTTGAATTTTTCTTGGTTCTCTTTCATTGCACTATTGATTTGTTTCAAAAACGAGGTTTCTTTATTATCATCATCACCTTTTTGTTTTAGTTTTGAATATTTAGTTTGCCATTTAGTGTTGAGTTTTTCCATATCTTCCTTGAACTGATTTACACGGAGTGAATGCTCTTTTTCTATTTTACTTATAACCTGTTCAAAATAGGCACGCTGCTGCTCCAATTGACTTGTTAATAAGAAGTTATATTCCATTACAATTGATTCGATTTTTTCTTCTTTTAAGTGTGAACCCTCTCTTGTATCAGTAGATTGGTTTGGATTTGGAAATTCCAAAACCTTACCATCGGCCCTATTTTGAATAAGACGATGCACATAACCATCACCTGCATAATCCCAAACACGTTGAGTTTCTAGCTCTAATGCGAATGTATGCATAGTGTCCTCGTAATGCTGATTTGCATGACTATTTACATAACGTGAGCAGCCAACTTGACCACATATAATACAAATCCAAAGTGATTCAGTTGAGTCACATTTAGAACATACACTTTTACTTTCAACTGTTGGAACTTGAACATATCTACAAACTGGGCATGTGTTATCACCTTTCCATTTACTTAAACAATCGCAATGAAACGAATGGTGGCATAGTACTGTTACAACACCTGATGAGTTTGAGTCTAAACGGTCCAAGCAGACAGGACATGTTGGTAGTTCAATTGAATTTGGTGGTGGCATTAAATGATAGTTTGGCGTTGAAGTTTGATAATCAACTTTACTAATAAATAAAATAGTACATGTTTCTGGCTCAAATGATGAAAAATTCTTTCCATTATATAGCTGATAAAACTCGTCGGATGATGCTTGATCTTTTAATCTCACTATTACCATATATCTATTTGGTGATGCGTCCCTAATAATTTTCATATCTGTTATAAAATCGATACATGTTGAAAAAAATCCAATTAAATCTGGTATAGACATATAGGATGGCACTGATTCAATACATATTATATTGGTTCGGGAATTCTAATATTAAATATCAGTATTAGTAATGAATATTTTATGTCGACAATGTTTACTATTATTTCCAAACTACTTACTGGTAATTGACATAAATTTGTTGTTAAATTTTTTTCTATCGTTGTATTTATAAACAAATGTAAAAACCCTTCGATTACTTCAACATTAGGATTACCTGAAAAAAATGGAATTGACTCTAATTCATTTTCATTGTTATTATTGGTGGTGTTATTGTTATTGTTATTGTTGTTTGGATTCAAAATTGATGCAGTTGATAAATTGGTTGCTGTGGTGGTTGTAGTGGTTGTAGTGGTTGTGGTAGTAGTAATTGAATAGGATGATGATTCATAATGTGATTTATTTTTACCCCTCAATAAGGCCACATCGATATTTGGTGGTTGGATAATTCCTTCTAATATAATTGAATCGGGTATTAATGTTTTTTTGTAAAATACTTTTTTGGTTGGGGTTAAATTTGATGTGGGAGTAGATGTTGTAACTGTGGATGGTATATTTAATGAGCCACTATTATTGTTATTGTTATTATTGCTATTATTGCTAAAACTATTGCTATTATTACTATTAGTATTAATATTACATTCCATCTTTTTTAGATTATCCTTTTTTTCTATTTTATTTTTTGATGTTAAATTTTTTACTGTTTTATTTGTAACGGTTTTATTTTTAAAATTTAGATAATCTGTATTATTCGAGAGTGTATAAATAGCTAATATTTAATGAGTTAGAAATTTATTTCAAACAAAAAATAAGAAAAAAAAAAGAAATAATTACCTTCTGCTTCTATAACCAAACTATACATCTATATTTATATATATTTATTTATTTATTTATAATGGTTTATAACAATTCATGTATTTTTTTAGATTATTGAAAAAAAAAATTTTAAAGAAAATTTATTTGTGGACGTGTGTGAAAATATTACTATAATTATTATTTATTAATTTAATTTATATGATTAAAATAATTAAAAAAAGAAAAAATTTAAAAAAAAATAAATTAAAAAATTTAAATTTTTTTATTTTTTATTTTTTTTATTTGTTTTTTTTTGGGAAAATAATGATAATTAATCTATGGGTTATTTTTATAAATTATATTTCATAAAAACTATGCAATAATACTGTTTTAAATCAAAACATATTTTTTTTATTATCCAATTTTTTTTTTATTTATTTTTTATTTATAAAGTATTTTATTTATAAATAAAAAAAATTAAAAAAAAAAAATTTTAAAATTTTTAAAAAATAAAAAAATTAAAAAAAAGCTCGTTTAATTCGTTTTTTTCTTTCAAATACATATTTTAAGATATTACAGAGTTATAAAAATGAACTTTAGCGAAATTGTACAACAAAATTTACAAGCTCAATTACAACAACAACAAATTCAACAAGAGCAAGAAAGAGTTTTACGTGAACAACAACAAATTCAACAACTCGAACAACAACTTCATAGAGAACAACAAAATGGTCCAGCTAGACCCGCCGAAGAATACTGGCAAATTTTTGACCAATCTGTAAATAGAATTTTTAAAGAATGGACTGCATTACAATTAGCATTAGTTAATGAATGGGGTGGTAGATCAAGTGGTGAAAGAGCTCTTGAAATGAAAGAAGATATTTTAGATCTTTTCTTAACTGGCAAACCAGTCTATTCAGATCAAATCGAAAAAATTCTCGATGAATGTTTATCACAAGATTTAAATACCGTAGCTGAGGATGGTAGTTATAAGCAGGTATGTTATATTTATTAACCCAATATTATTTAGATTATTTATTAATTAATTTAATTTTAGGTTGCTGAAATGATTATTCAATGTTATAATTTAGCAGCAAGAGGTTTATATAATGAATTAGTTAATTTTTTAGGTCCAGAAACCTCATCTGTTATTGGTAACTGTGTTAAGGGTGCCGGAAATGTTAGTATTTCCTTTTTTTTTTTTTTTTTTTTAAAAACATATTTTAAAATATTAATTTTTTAATTTATTTTAGGATTCAGACGATGAAGTCTCAGAAATGGGCGATGATAGCATGATGGAAGATGACGATGATATGGAAGATGGAAATGATGATATGGAAGAAAAAGAAAAAAATAAAAAATTCAGTGAACCAGACGAAGATGGTTGGGTCACAGTCAATCCAAAAAGAAAATAAATATCAATTATATAAGTCCTGTAAATTTTAAATTCTTTAGCATATTTAAAGAAAAGCTCAATAAAAATATTATTTAAAAAAAAAACCAAATAAAAATTTTATTTAAATTGTATTTTATAAAAAAAAAAAAAAGAAATAAACCAATTTTGCTTTTTTATATTACCATGTTTTTTTTTTTTTATTTATTTTATTTTTCTTGATCAACTTAAAAAGATAAAGTTTAATTATTTTCTGGTTTGAGTTTCTTTAAAATTGGATTAATATTTTTTTCATTCATATATTGGCCAAGTAAACTAGATAATGGGGCCTTATCGAGATCTTGAAGGTGTTGGATTTCTGGTCTAACATCAGCAACTTTATTCTTTGGTAAATTTAAAAGTACTGGTAAGAGTTCAATTAAAATGGTGTCTTTTGAGTTTGAATGGAATTTACCAACGTTAATTACATTTGGATGTTTGTATGGAGCGGTGGCATCAATTAAGATAACTTTTGATGGATCTCTATCTAACATTTCAATCTTTTTAGAGAATTGATTTCTTTCTTTTAAGCCATGTTCAGCATAGAGTTGACCAACGAAGTAATTTTGATTTGGATCTATTTTGAAGTAAATTTGTTCATTTTTCTATATAGATTTAAATATTAATTAGTATAACCATTTTATGTGATATTATATTGTATTTAAATATTATTAATAGTTATTATTTAAAGCTATTAATATTATAAATATTACATTTTGTGGAATATTTGCGTTAAAGAAAAGATAGATATCAAAATCTTTTTTAAGATTCTCTAAGAAAAAGTCAAGACCTGCTCTTTTATAAACAGCTGGATATTTCTAAAATTAAATTATGTTAATAACCTATCAAAATAAATGGTAATAGTAGTATTAATAATACTTACAGATGCTTTTGAAAGTTCACAGAGGGCATCGATTTCGATAACTAATGTATATTTTTTACTTCCTGGAAGTTGTGGTGGTAAAATTTTGTGAACTTTAGCTTGACCAAAGAGCTATAAAATGAAACAAATGTTAATATCCATTATGTAAAGTAAAAAGTAATTTTATACTACTTACAGATTCGAAAATTTCAGATCTATCACTTAAATTTGCAAAGATATTTTCAAATCCATCTCTTAAACCAGTTGTGGCCTTTAAGACATGTTGTTCTAAAGTACTTAATCTCTAAAATATATTATTAAATTTGAATTAGCCATATGCTATTTGTTTTAATGTTTTTTTTTATGTTCCCAATACTTACATATCTTTCTTCTTCAGTAATATCCTTCTTATATTCATAAGCTGTTTATAATATATTAAATATGTTAGTAAATTTGATTTTTTGAGTATAAATGAATTGAATAATAGATGGAAATATAAAAAATTTCAAGTTCTTTTATTAACAAACTCCCATTGAATGATGATTCTGTTTTATTTTTGTGTACTATTGTTATTGTTATTGTTATTGTAATTGTTATTGTTATTGTTATTGTTATTGTTATTGTTATTGTTATTGTTATTGTTATTGTTATTGTTATTGTTATTGTTATTGTAATAATTGTTGTGGTTGTTTTTGTTGTTGTTATTAAAGAATCAATGTTCAGCTATCTTTTTTTTAAATTTAGCCCATTACTTACCTAAATAACCTAAAACTGAAGTAACAATAACAGTTAAACCAATACCAGCACCAATTGTATGGAAAACTGGTAAAAATCTCTTTTTCTTTTTCTTTTCAGCTTCTTTGGCTTCTTCAGCTTCTTCATTCTCTAAATCTTCAACAGTTTTTTCTTTTTTTTCTTTTTCTTCTGCCTTTTTTTCTTCATTTACTTTTTTTTCTTCATTTACTTTTTTTTCTTCTTTTGGTGCTTCATTTGAATAAAATCTTCTTGATGAATTTATGAATAATGGTTGATTTTTACCAGAGAAAAAACCAACATGTTTTCCAAAATTTCCTAATTTTAATAGTAACCATTAATTTAAAAAAAACAAAAAAAAAACACAAAAACGAAACAAAAAATAAAATAAATTATAATTGATTAGATATTTAATTTTATATTTGGCATTTAGAGATTTTTGAATGTCTATTTTGTGTATTACTTACTTGCTGCTTTGCCTAAGATCATTTTTTATTTCTTAATAATATGCAATAACAATAAATATAAAAAAAAATAAAATGAAATGAAATGAAAAAAATAATTTTAAAATTTTTTTTTTTTTTTTTAAATTTAATTTTTTAAAAAAATTTTTTTCGTTTTTTTTTTTATGAAATGGGACTCACCACTTTTGAAATCACAGTGCGTTTTTAGAAGTTCGTTAAAATTTAAAAACACCTAATTATTATTTATTAAAATGATGCAAATTATTAAAAATGAAAAATTAAATAAATAAAATTAAATATCTATTTTTAAATATGAAACAATTAAATTAAAAAAAATTTTAAATTTAAAAAAGAAATAAAACAATCAAATAATTTTTTATCATAATGTGTCCAAGATTATTTTTATTTTTATTATTTTTTTTGAAATTTTTGTTTTATTTTTTTTTTATTTTTTTCTTTTTTTTTTAGAAAAAGAAATTAGTAAAGTTATATTTGTAACATTTAATGGTTGTTTTGTTTGTTGTTTGTCTGTATTGATTTTGTTTGTTGTGATATTTGGGATTGGTTTGTTGTATAATTTTGTTTTGCAATTTTGTTTATTATTTATATATATTATAAAAATGGGAATTAATGGTGTTCTTCGTGTTGTCTTGGGGTGAAACCATCAAATCTTCTTTCATGTTTACAATAACCAATATGGAAATCCTTCATAATGATATGTGCATATTTAGTCATTGGTGCGAGAGTGAATAATGTGGTTGATTCACCGCCTGCATTCTTTATAATTTCAAAAAAAAAAAAAAATATTTGAATTTAATTGTTTGTTTGGTCATAATATTGATTGTTGGTAAAATGTTGAGTTAATTACATAAGTGAAATCAATATGTGTTAATTATAAATAAATAAATAAATAAATAAATAAATAAACAAATGAATAAATAAATAAATGTTAGTATGAATTTTTTAAGTTGTACTTTAGATAATAAATGATAATTACTTGTAAAATCATATCACCACCTGGATGACTTGAAACATATGAAGTAACATTATAAACTTTTTCATTGATAATTAACCAACAGTCATCTCTGGTGTTGTGTTTGGCAACTTCTTCAAGAGTGAATTGTGGGAGGTTTGGGTCAATTAAATTTGAGAATGGATAACCTGGGTGATCTTCTCTGAGTTGGGTTGGATCTAATTTTTCTAATAACCATGGTTCATCTTCATCATTATTTGAGGCATAATTACGTTTTTGAATTGAAAATTGATTTTTTGGTGTAATATTTAATTTAGTAGTTGATAAAAATGATCTTTGTAAATTGATGGTGGTGGTTGGTTTCTAAATAGTGAATAATAAAAAAATACATAAAAATGATACCTATTATTAGTATTTATTTCTCTATATACTACTATTTCTAGTATGATTCACATACATTGATGATGCTTGAACATCTTAATAATTTAGTTGAAAATCTGATCATTTTATTTTGTGTTTATTTTCCAACAATAAAAAAATATTATAAATGAAAAAAAAAGAAATAAAATTTTTAAAAAATTTTAAAAAAAAAAAAAATTCAAAAAAATTCAAAAAAATTTTTTTTTTTTTTTTTATGTAAATATAAAAACAAAAAAGGGTTTTTTGCTATGGCGTCATTTCACCAAATTAAAATAAAATCAATAAAATTAAATGAATAAGGCCTTTAAAGGTTTTTTTTTTTTTTTATCTTTTTTTTAAAATATATTATTGTTTTATTATTGTTTTATTTTACTTTGTTAATTTGGGATTCAAGTTCTAAAATAGTTAATGAAAGTGAAGATGATTCTTCGAATTCTGACCATTCTTTTCTGTTTTTGGTATAGGAGGGTAATGAATTAGTATTTCCTTTTTGCAATTTCCTTTTTCTATCTATAATTTATGAATATTTACTCTGTTAAATCGACATCATTATATTTTTTACCTGATGATGAAACGACAATCCAAGCATCCTAGTTAAAAATAAATAAAAAGTTAAAAATAGGTTTTTTTTTTTTTGATATTTATAAAATGGTATTTACTCTTGGATCAAATTCTTCAATTTCAACACCTCTGCAATCAAATCTGGCAATTTCAAATGATTTTTCTGATTCGATGGTTCTTTCTGAATAATTAGTTTCTTCAACTACAATACTATTTTCTCTATTACAACCCTTACATTTCACTAATAATAAAAATTAAAATAATATTAGTAATCAATTTATATTATTATATTATTATTATTATTATTATAAATTAAATATATTGCAGTATATTCTTTTTAATTATTTTGCATTATAAACCTACTTAATAAATTAACATTTGATTTACCAACGACTTCAATATTCTAAATTTAAAAAGGTTAGTTTGTATTAAAGTCTATATATCATAATCATAATAAACTAAACTACTTACTGATTTATCTAAACCAATAAATTTATCTGGGGTTTCACCACAGTTTGAACATTTAATTTTAACAAAGAAAACTTTATCGGTGCATGGGTAGATATTTTCGATTTCTTCAGTTTCAGCTTTTAAGGTGATTGATTGTTTAACCATTTTTTTAATATTATATTATTTAGTGTTTTGTATTTAAATGAAAAAAATAAAAATATTTAAAATTTAAAATTTTTGAAAAAAAAAAAAAAAAAAATTTAAAAATAAAAAAAAAATAAATAATAAAACCCAAATTAAGAAAAGATTAATAAAGTAAATAAAACTTATAGTGTAGGTAAAAATATAGAAAATATAAAATTGGATTTTGTATTATATGATTTTAAAAGTATCCATAGATAAATTAATAATCAAAAAACAAAAAATTTTTTTTATTTTTTTTAAGTGATTAAAAATTATCGTTATTCTCAGTTTTCACCAATTATCGTTAGCATGAAAAAACTTCACAAAACCATATTGATAAAATTAATATTAATCTCTTTTTTTTAAAAAAATTTAATTAATTATTAAACTTTCAAAAAAAAAAAAATAAATCCCAAAAATTAAATAAAAAATTTTTTTTTAAAGATTTTATAATTAATTTTGAAAGATAATAAAATTGTATTAATACCATTATTTTATTTATTTAAATTTTTTATACTATTAGCCCAGATTAGTATCTATTTAATCAAAATACCTATAGAGAGTAGATTAAGCGATAATTGAATGAGAAGAAATGAAACGAGTGAATAAAAAAAACAACAAATAATGTAGGTGGTGAATAAAATATTTTCATTACATTTATTAGTTTGTATTTTTATAATTTTATATTAATTTTTTTTTTTTGTTTATTTTGCAATTTTTTTTTTTTATTAATTTAAAAGTTTTTTTTTTTAAAATTATTTCTTTCTATATAGAAAGAAATAACGATACACAATAGTAGATATTTATATATATAAATGATAAACAACACTTGATATTTTTAATTATCAATAATATTTGATAATTCTTGAAAATTTTAATGATCCACAAAATTTTATATTCTTGAATGCTACACAATACTTGATATGTTTTAATGATCCAATAAAATACTTACCTTATAATCATTATACAATAAATCTTTATACTATTGAATGATCCAATCCAATTGTATATTCTTGAAATGTTTATAATGATATAAAATTATGGTATCAAAATAAAAAAACTATAGTTGAATAATAATAATAAAACTTGATAATCTTGAATGATCAAACCCACTTGAATTTACCTGAATGTGTATAATGAAAAAATATAATGATATTATTACCAATATTTTATTTATTTATGAATGTTACAATACTTAATAGTTTTTAATGATCCATTATATTTAATATTCTTGAATGTTACACACTACTTGATATATTTGATATGTTTAAATGATACAATAACATAATTACTTTATACTTATTATACCATGAATGAAATGAATGAAATGAATGAAATGAATGAAATGAATGAAATGAATGAAATGAATGAAATGAAATGTAATGGGTGAATAAAAAAACAACAAATAAATGTAGTTGGTCAGTATATTAGAGCCGAATGGTTAATTATTTATCCCACCACGCAGAATACATAATTAACCACCATATTGATAATAGAATGAAATGAAATGTAATGGGTGAATAAAAAACAACAAATAAATGTAATGCAAATATGACTTGACAAAGCTAAAATTTGACTTGATAAGGCTAAAATTTTTTTAAAGCACTTGTTTCTTGTTGCTGCTGCTAAATAGTCTTTGATAAATTTGGATGTTACACAATAGTTGATATGTTTATTTTTATTTTTATCTATATTTATATTCTATTTCTTTCAAATTTGATTTCTATACTTGATATTTTTTAAATGATATATAATTTTTGATATTTTTTATGATCCATATTACTTTTTATTTTTTAAATGCTAAATATTTGATACTTTTGCATGATCCATATTACTTGATATTTTTGTATGATCCACATTACTTGATATTTTTTAATTATCCATAATACCTACCAATAATCATTACATTCAATAAAAAAACAAATGATAATCGATTGAAAACTTAATTAAATGATATATATTAAAATTTTTTTTTTTTTTTTTTTTTTTTTTTTTTTTTAATGATATGCTTTAATAATCTAAAATAATTATTTTTATCCAATAAAAAGATAGCTTTAATGCTAAAAAATCCTCGATAGCTTTAATGCTAAAAAATCATTTATATTTTTTAATGCTAAAAAATCCTCCATAGTTTTAATGCTAATAATTTATATGTTTTAATGATAAAAAATCCTCGATAGCTTAAATGCTAAAAATCTTTTATGTGCTAAAAAATCCTCGATAGCTTTGATGCTAAAAAAATCTTTTATATATTTAAATGCTAAAAAATCCTCCATAGTTTTATTGCTAAAAAATCCTCTATAGTTTTAATGCTAAAAAAATCTTTTATATGTCTTTATGCTAAAAAATCCTCGATAGCTTTAATGCTAAAAAATCCTCGATAGTTTTAATGCTTAAAAATCTTTTTATGTGTCTTTATGATAAAAAATCCTCGATAGCTTTAATGCTAAAAAAATCTTTTATGTATTTAAATGCTAAAAAATCCTCGATAGTTTTATTGCTAAAAAATCTTCGATAGTTTTAATGCTAAAAATCTTTTATATGTCTTAATGCTAAAAAATCCTCGAAATGCTTTGATAATATTTTTTTTTTTTTTTTTTTTTTTTTTTTTTTTTTTTTTTTTTTTTTTTTTTTGGATGGCCCCAAAAAAAAACTTCCCTTCTATTAAGAATATAATAAAATTGGATAATCTGGAAGGGATCAACCCCCCCTTGAATTTTTCCCGGAAGGGGTATAATGGAAAAAAAAAAAAAATTTATGAAATTATTTTCTTTAAATACTTTTTAGTTTTTTTAAAAAAAAATTAAAAAAAAAAATTTAATTTAAAATTAATTAATTAATTAATCTATAACTATTTCCTAATTTATTTAAAACATCAATTCCAAAATAAGTAAAATTTGTATTTTCAGAAAAAATGTAGATCTGCTACAATCAAAATTGGTAATAATTTGAAACAGGGGAGGTTTTTTTTTTTCAAAATTTTTTAATTTTCAAATTTTTAAATAAATAATTTTCTAAATTAAACACTTCTTCCTTTTAAAGAAATCATTTTTCCATTTATATTATTTTATTATAATTCATTTCATAATTGATATGTGAAAAAGAAATAAAGTAAGAATTTGGTAGTTCATTATATGATAATCAAATTGGTATGATAGCTGAATGAAAAAAAAAAAAAAAAAAAAAAAAATTTATTTAATTTTATAAATTTAATTTTTTTTAAATTTCTTTAAAATTTTTAAACATTTTTTAATTTTTTTTTAAATTACAATGAGCGCTTTTTTTAAAATTTTTTTTTTTTAAATTTTGAAAAATGATAAAATCTTCCAGATGATCCAAAAACGATAACAATAATTTTAATCACTTTTTTTTTTTTTTTTTTGGTAATTTCGATATTTAATTTTATTAATTTAATATATTTTTAATATTTATAAATAGGTTTTGTATTTATTTAACTTTAATTTAAAGTTTATAAATAAATAATTAACTTTTTTTTTTATCTTTTTTTTTATCTTTTTTTAGAGTTTAATAAATATTTTGTTTCTAAACATTAGGTATGCAATAAGGTCAAAGAAGACGAACCAACCTAAACTAAAAACGGTGGAGGCAAGATATCCATTCTTTAACCAAGACAAATAGAGAATTTCATATGACATTGTCCATAAATAGGTGCCATCGTGTGTTTTAATATAAAACATTAAAAGAATTTCGATAAAGATCATTAAAGAGTAAATAGTGATGGGATTTGTTCCAATGTAGATGAAGGGTTTGGATAAAAGATCTATAAAACGTCTTGCTTTGTTACCCCATTCAATTACATCAATTAAAATATATGCAACTGTAATTAGGCAACCACCAGTACCAACTGTAAATAGGGCAAAACTAAAGCTCCAAATAAGTTTGTTGAAAGGCATAACTGTAGCACCTAAACCAATTGCGGGTACAATAAATAATGCAATCATAACAATCCATCTTACAATAAGGTCAACATTTGAATAGTCATATTTTCTATAATAGGTTGTAAATACTCTACCAAATTCCAAACCCATCCAAGTTGTAATAAATGCACTTAATGTAGATAATAAACCTTCTGGATCATTAGGATGTATCCTGTTAATAAATAAATAAATAAATAAATAAAATTAGCCAATTGTATTATCTGTTGTTAAAATAATAAGGTATACATACATATTTGGACCGAATACTTTGAAATCGAGATATGCACCAGCATTACAAGTTGGGGTGAGTACACCCTTACCACATCCTGGTACTGGTAATGCATACATTACTGAGATGTATGTAACAGTTGTTCCCAAAAGGAAAAGTCTTTGCAAGAATACAGGGAAACATAAAAAGCTTACACAACTGAGGAAATAACAAAGTGCAATTCTTTGTAAAACACCCATAACTCTAAATGAACTAAATACAAAATGATGTGCCATTAAATTTAAAAAACATTGAATAAAAAATAATAAAAAGGTTCTTCTAATGATATTATACCATGCTAAAAATAGAAAAATAAAAAGTTAATAATTTTAAAATTTTATTAAAAAAAATAAAATAAAATTGTATATACCCACTTGATCTTGTATTTTTAGCAGTCTTTAAAGCCAATGCAACAGAAAAACCACAAATGAAAAGGAAAGATGGGAAAATAAGGTCAGCTGTTGATAAACCATTCCATTCAGTTTCTTTTAATGGCCAAATTACATCTGGACCACCTTGGTTATCTACTAAAATCATACCAAAAATTGTAATACCTCTAGCTACATCTAAACTACTCATTCTTTTTTTAGAGTTGGCAGTTGTTGGTGAAGATGTTGCTGGTTGTGAGGTTGTTGTTATTGGGGCGATTGAGGCGATTGGTTTGGGAGAAGAGGATGCATTATGTTGATGGTGGTGATGGTGATGGTGATGGTGGTCATGGTTATGATGTTTATGATCTATAAGTGGTTGTGATTCAACATCTTGTATATTTGTCATTTTTTATTTATTTAAATTAAAATAAATAATTATATACAACAAAACTGCAATACAACACTGGTATTAGGAAAGAAAACTATAAAAAAATAAATAAAAAAATAAAAAATTTAAAATTTTAAAAAAAAAAAATAAAAAATAATAAAATTTAGATTTTTAAAAAATCTTTTTTTTAAATTTTATATAAAAAAAAAAAAAATAGTTTTCGTAGTAACAATATTAATTCATTTCTATAATCATAGTTTCTATAAACCAAACTACGGCTAGATAAATTGTTTATGTTATCAATATTAAATTTTTTAAATTTTATTTGTAATCGATAAAATGGGTAAATTCGAAAATTATGTCAATAATATCGACATAAAAATTATCATTGTGGTTGTAATTGAAATATTTTATAAATAAATGTTCAAAAATTATAAAAAGAAAAAAATAGTTTTTGTTTTTTATAAAGTCATTATAATATTTTAATTTTATAAAAATATCTAATTCAAATAAAAAATGGATCTAATTAAAATATAATTTGTTTTTTTTAAAAAAATAGGAAATTACCAAATAAAGTAATAATCATATATAATGTTTAGTTTATATAAACATACTAATTATTAGTTTAGTATTTATGATTATAGTTTTTATATTTAAAGTAAGTTGTAATACAATCATTTTATTTTCTTTTTTTATATATTTTATTACAAATTATAATAATATTTGGATGTATAAAAATAAATTCAAACTTTTTTTTTTTTAGTTTAATATTAAAAAAAAAAAAAATGTAAAAAGATATTATTATTATAATTAGGTTCTATATTTGTGATAATATCCAATATTTAATATAGATATATCATAATTCACACAATAAAAAAATCTTCATCATCTACCCCCATTACAGAGTGAATGGGATATTATTACAATAGTTAAAATTAACAACAATCAATACAACAATAGCAATAACAGCAACAAAAAAACAAAACAAAACTATCAACAACAACAATGCGACATCAAAACAACAGCATTTAGACAATATTGTAATTTTTAATAAATTTATAAAAAAGCCATTAAAATAATACTTTAAAACTAATTGAGGAAAAAGAAAAAAATAAAATAAAAATAAAAAGGGAAAAAAAAAAAAAATAATAGATAAAATTATTTAGCCTTAAATCAAGAAATATTGACCAGAAATAATTGTATTGGTTCTTCCAAAAATGATTTATTATTATAGATCTTAACGACGAAACTACTTAATTTAATACCTAACGTATTTTTATGTAATTTAAAATTATTCAAAAAATAAACACAAAAGTATTGTTTTATTGCTATTTTTTAAATTAAAATTCATTTTTTAAGTTTCTGTAGTGGTTAAAATTTTTTGTGATGATAGAAATTATTTCTTACATACATTATGTGGGGTGTGAGTGTGTTTTTTTTATAATTTTTATTTAAATTTTATTATTTTTTAATAATCATAATTATTATATTCATATATTATACATATATAAGGTATATACGTGTATACACAAAAAAATAAAATGCAATGTTTAGTATTTTAATATATTTTTTGCAGCCCATTACTATTTACATGGATACTATATATAGGTTTTTTTTTTTTTTTTTCAACTTTATTATTTTTGTGTGTTTTAACCTTGTGGTTGTTTTTTAAGTGTAATTAAATAAAATAATAATAATAATAATAATAATAATAAAATTAATAATATAACATGTAAATTCAATTTATTGTATAGTTTTTAAAATTGTATATGTGGTGAAAGAAAAAAACCTAAAATTCAAAAATTGTTTGTTTTTGTTTGTTAGTTTGATTGAAATTATCAAACCCCAATTTATTATATATTAAACACACAGATACCACATATATCTAATTTAAATCTTTTGGGAATAATTAACATCAATATTATATATAATACATATACCCACACCCAAAATAAACAAATAAAAGAAAACCCACACTTATAATCACCACCCTTAAATATAAATTAATAAATATATATTAAGCCAATAATATATCAAAATCATTAGTATATTTATTTTATTTTTATTTTTTCTTTTAAATAATATTATTTTAAAAAAAAAAAAGGAAAAGAAAAAAAAGATATAAATTCAAAATAAAATTTCAAATCATTTGTCAGTTTAAATTTATCTTAACAATAAATAATAATAAACATTAATAATAATTTATTCTTTTATTCTTTTATTCTTTTTATTAAAATATTCTTTTTTTCAAATTCTAAAAAAAATAAAAAAATAAAAAAAAAAAACTAAAAAAATAATAAAAACCAAACTAAAATGTTTAAAAATATATTTTTAATATCAATAGCATTTTGCTTATTGATAAATACAGCCATTTCCCAACAATGCTTCAACAAAAATAATTTAAATTGGAGATCGGGAAACAACAAATTGTCATTAAACGATCAACAAATCACAATTCAGGGTATAGCTTGGTTCGGTATGGAAACTGGTACTTTTTCACCAGGTGGTTTAAAAACTACATCAGTCGAAGCTTTATTGGATTTATTGGTCCAATTAAAATTCAATGCTCTTCGTCTCCCATTCTCTGTCGATATGATTTTAAACAATCGTTATCCAAATGAAATCAATTACAGCCTCAATCCAAATCTTCGTGGTAAAACAGCTCTTCAAGTTCTTCAATACATTACCGAAAAATCTGGTGAACGTGGTATTTTAGTAGTTTTAGAACAACACAGATTCGATCCATCAGATTACATCTCTGCTCTTTGGTATTCCACTCAATGTATTACAAATGTAGATGGTGCTTGTGTAAACTATACTCCAGAATTAGTAGTCCAATCATGGATCACATTAACAAAATTATTCCAACAATAGTAAGTAATACAAATTTCATTTTTTATATTTATTTTATATTAATTTCTTGCTCTTTTTTTTTAGTTGGAATTTATGGGCTTTGGATATTAAGAATGAACCACATGACCCAGCTACATGGGGAGCCGGAAATCCAGCAACTGATTTTGATAAAGCATTCACATCCATTTCAAACCAAATTGGTTCCGCCACAAACTTCAACGGTGTTTATTTCATTGAGGGTGTCCAAAATAATAATGCTATTTGCTCTAATAATTACAACAATTGGTGGGGAGGTAATATGTCACCAGTCCAATGTTTCCCAGTTTATTTGAACCAAGCCGACCGTCTTGTTTATGCCCCACACACTTATTGCTCAAGTGTCTTCGATCAAGAATACTTTAATACTGCCGATTACCCAGAAAATATGCCAACTGTTTGGGATAGTCAATTTGGTTTCCTCTACAACAACTACTATGCTCTCGTTTTAGGTGAATGGGGTTGCAAATTAAACAACACTAAAAATCAAAAATGGATGGACAGATTTGTTACCTATTTAAATGACAAAAATATCAAGAGCCATCTTTTCTTCTCTTTAAACCCAGACTCTGCCGATACCGACTCACCACTCTATGCTGATTGGAAATCAATTAACCAAAATACAGTCAATGTTTTAAATAGAATTAATTCAAGTCCAACTAAATTTACACCAAATGGAAATCAAATTTGTTTAGGTAAATACTAAAATATAATATTAAAATCTTCTCTCTATCTTTCTCTCTATCTTCTATCTCCTACTATTTATCTTTTTTTATTTTTAAAAAAAGTTTCTTTACTCTATCCTCTTTAAAAAAAAATTAAAATATAGAATTTAATTTAAATTTAAAATTAAATTTTACCTCTCTTTCTCTTTCTCTTTCTACTTTTTTATTTTACTTTTTATTTTTTTATTTTATTTTAAATTTATTAACATTTATTTCTAACAAATAGGCGCTGTTTCAACTACCACTGCTCCAGCAACAACTGGTGTTGCCAGTACAACTGGAAAACCCTCTACAACTGGTAGTGCAACAACTGGCTCCGCAACAACTGGTAGTGCAACAACTGGTAGCGCAACAACTGGCTCTGCAACAACTGGTAGTGCAACAACTGGTAGTGTAACAACTACAGGATCAACAAGTGGTTCATCAAATATCATTATTAACCAAGTAGTAAGACAAACATGGTTTGATGGTACAAGCAACTATATGGTAGTTGATGGTACAATTAAAAATGGTGGATCAACAAATACTAATAGTCCAAAACTTCGTTCAGATAAGATTCCACAACAAATTTGGGGTTTAGATAGTGGTGCTGGTAATACATGGACTCTTTCATGGAATCCAACTTTAACTCCAGGCCAATCAATCGAATTTGGTTATATTGTTGCATCAAGTTCTCCAATCCAATTTACAATTATTGCTTAAGGAAATACAACCTATATAACAACCTATATTAAAACCTTCATAGAAAACCAATATTAAATATAAAACTATTTAAAAAGAAACTATATTAATATTATTATTTATTATAATAAAATAAAATTTAAACATTTTAATCTTTTAAACTATATATTATATATTTTAATTAATAATAATTCAATGTTTTTTTTCTTTTAATTTATTAGGGGGGGAGAAAAAGGGATTCTCGATAAATTCAAAGCATTTATACTTTAATCTACTTAGTCACACATAAAATATGCGACAAATTAAAAATTATACATAAATTTTTTAAATAAAATAAAATAAAACAAATAATATATGGGACAATTTTTTTTTTTTTTTTTTAAATTTTAAAAATAATTTTGATTATTATTTGAAAAGAGTTTTTTTTTATTTTTTTTTTATTTTTTTTTTTATTTATGAAATAATTTTATTTTATTTATATTTAAACAACAGTATATAAATGAATTTCTTTATAGTCTTCAAAAGTTCTATCGTCTTCTGGTACTGGAGAGTCCAATGGTACTTTCTTTAACCAACCTTTTAATTTTAATGGGATTTTATTATTTTTAAAAGTTTCTTCGATTGATGGGATGGTTAAAATCTTCATGCCTTTTTTTGATTTAGTATTAGCTTGAATATATTCCCAAAACTCGATATGTTTCTTTTTATCCTCTTGGAAGAACTCTAAAACATTATTCATATAGATTACATCTGATTTTGCAAGTATTTCTTTATGTTTTAAAATATCACCATGAATTACAGATACACGATCACCCATTTTGTATTTTGAAATAAAATCTTTTTGAAGTTTTGAAAAATATTCATTAATTTCGATACCAATTAATTCCTTTGCGTCACTAAATAAATAACCTGTGTATAATAAAGAACCTAAACGTGATCCAATATCCAATACTACCTTATCCTTTAAATCACCTAAAACATTTTCACTAAACATATATTTAATTTGATTTGGTGTAGTTGAATGTGATACAAAATCTATGGTGGTAATAAAATAAAAAAATGAATTAATATTTACTAATAATTATTAAATGATTATATACAAATACTAACTGGTTGGTATAATTGATTTTGAACCACAGTCGGAACAATAATTGTTTTTTAATTCACCTGCGTCTATTAATTCGTCAACATCTTCTTCAGTGTACAAGAAACCATCGACATTAATTGTGTTTTCTTTGGTGTAACCTTCAAATGAAACATTCTTTGGAATTATAATCTTTTCATTTGGTGCTTCAGAGGTAATTGGTAAAATATCTTTTAAATCTCTAATAATGGTTTGTAAACGAATGTCTTGTTTGCTTTCTTCTTTTGGTGGTTTGATTGGCTCGACTGTAACATTTAAATGTTGACATACAAAACTTATAAAATCAATTTTGTCATCTTCGTCTGTAATTTGTCTGTATAAATCTTTAAATTCTTTTTTTAACTTTTCTAAATCTACTTTATTTTCTTCACCATCACTTTCAATTTCTTCCTTCTTTCTTTTATTTGGTAAAAAAGACATATTTAAAAGTATAAATTATATAATTATAAAAAATAAATAAATAAAAAAAAAATATTAAAATATAAAAAAACGAAAAAAAAAAAAAATAAAAAAATTTTAAAATAAAAAATAAAAATAAATTAAAATAAAATAAGAAGTAAATTAAAATAAATATTTAGGAATAATTATAATTTATTTTATTAAATTATTGGTATAGTATTAATACTTTTTTTATAATTGATTGTTTTTATTTTCTGCAAGTATCATAATTTTCAATAAACCATTTACAACTTTCTTTAATTGCGTCTTTTATTGGAATAAAAGTTAAATCTGGATAAAGAGATTTTAATTTGTGATTGGATGCAGTTTTTTTGAATTGGCCATCTGCTTTGCTTGTGTCAAAAATTAACTTACCTTTGAAATCCATTGCCTCGGCGATCAAATGAGCAACATCAGCAATTGAAATTTCATCCTCCTCGCCAACTGAAAGAATAATTGGTGAGAGCTCTTCGTAGTTATCCAAAGCCCAAACAAATAATTTTGCTAAATCTAATGAATAAATAAACTGACGGAGTGGTTTGCCACTACCCATAATAGTTAAATCTTGATTATTTTCTAAATTTAAAAAAATAATAAATAAAAAAATTAATTAAAATTGCTATCTATAAATAAAACTTATCCATTTAAAACCCTTACTCATTGCTAAATATGTCTTGTGAATTAAGCCTGGAATAACATGACTGTCATGTAAATGATAGTTATCATGTGGGCCATAAATATTTGTTGGAATTACACTTGTAAACTTACAACCATACTCTTCATTATATGCTCTATTTAAAACATCGATCATTCTTTTAGCGTATGCATAGCCTTCATTGGATGGATGTGGTGGGCCGTTATGCACCATAGTTTCATCTATTGGATATGTAGTTTTATCTGGAAAGATGCAAGTTGATAAACATGAAACACATTTAACAATCTATATTTAATAAAGTTGAAGGGTAAGCAATTTTATTTTTTTTATTTTTATTTTATTTTATTTTTTCCAATACAAGAAATATTTTTATCTATATATATTATTTTTACATACATTAAATTCTCTGCAACATTCTAAGACATTATCATTAATTGCAATATTTTCTCTAAAAAATTCAACTTTATATTTCATATTGCTGAAAAGACCACCAACACGAGCTGCTAAATGGATAACATGAGTTGGATTATATTTTTTGAAAATGGTTCTTGTGGCTTCTTTATCTTTAAGATCGCCATCGGAAGATCTTAAAAATACCCATGAGTCATTTGGTCTATTTAATGATTTAGCATATGTCTCTATTCCTTTACCTACCAATCCACTACCACCGGTAACCATAATAACTCTTTTTTGATCCTTTGTCATTCTATGTGCCTATGATTTACTGCCGTACAACTGTCCGCGTATCACCTTTTTTTTTTTTTTTTTAAAATTAATTACAAAAAATTTAAAAAAAAAAAATTTAAAAAAAAAAAAAAAAAAATATTTTTTTTTTAAATTACCACCCAATTCTCCTATTATTTTAAATTAATTTAATTAAAGTTTAAGTTGATAATAACCCCAATAAAAAATACATATATAAATATTAAGAACATCATTTATTAATATTAATGGTAAAAATATTATATCTTTTTTTATAGTATTTGAATATTAATATTAAATTATTAATTTTTATTTATATATAGTGGGGGTTGTTTGTGTGTTTACTTGATTTATAATTTTAAAAATAAAAAATGGTGTTAAGAATTTCAATTTTTTTTTTTCAAAATAATTATTTTAAAACTATTATAATTTTAAATATCTTAAAATATATAAAATAGTTTTATCTATAAATAAATATAAAATAACACTGTATATTATAATAATAAATATTATTAATTTATAAATAGAATTTTATAAACAATAAATTAAAACACTTCCCACACCCACATGTGTTTTCAAAAAAGAAAAATATAAAAAAAATTTTTGTAATATGAGAAGTCATTTTGGGTTCAGTTATAAAGAAGGCATTTTATTCGAATCGTGGAAAACAAATAATGTTGGAGAGTTTATTGGATCATGGATTGCAATTTTATTATTTTCAATATTTTACGAATTTATTAAATCATTAAGAACAATACTAGAAATCCGATGGAGCAAAAACAATAGTTCAAATGGTATCGATATACAAAGCAGTAAAAATATAGACGAAGAGAAAAACTATATTTCATCCTCATTTTTGGATGGATATTACCCTCAATTCACAAAAAAAGATATAATTGTATGTATTTTAAAAATTAATTTTAAAATTTTTATATCAATACTAATCACTTATTTTTTTTTTTAGAGAGGTTTTTTGCATGGCTTGGAAATGACAATGAGTTTAGTTTTAATGTTAATTATAATGGGTTTTAATATAGCATTATTTTTTGCAGTAATCATTGGTGTAATTATAGGGTATATTATATTTGGAAGATTCCGACAATATAAACCAAAAACTTCATGTTAAATAAAAATAAATAAATAAAATAAATTATTTTGGGTCATTATGATCACACAAATAAATCACTTTTAATCACTTTTTTTTTTTATTTGTTTTTTTAGAAATTTTTTTTTAATTTAATTTTTTTTTTTTTCTCTTTTTTTTAATTTTTTTTTAATTTTTTATTTTAATTTTTTTTTAATTTTTTTTTGCAGTTCAAAATTTTTTTTTAATTAATTGTTATTTTATAATTTTTTTTCTTACACACACAACTTTTTTTTTTTCTTTTATAAATAATATATATAACACATCAAAATGGAAGATGATATTAAGAAATTACCAGATTTAGATATCGCTGATTTAATTTTCACTGTTAAATTAGAAGGTAAAACAGGATCAGAATCATATAAAAAATTAATTGGTCAAATAGAAGAAAAGAGTAAGAAATCATATCATCAAACAATACTATAAATAATAAACTATATAATAAATATTAATACTAATACTTTTAATTTTTAATTTAGAAATGTTACCATTATATAAACATTTAGTAGAATCATTAAAATGGACAGAAGATTCAGCATTAGCTGAAAGATTAAAAGCTGAAAACCAAGATGAATTAAAGAAATTAGACGAAAAAATTAAGGATAGTGTCGAAAATTTTGGTGAATCTGAAATTAGAGAAGCCTATTTAGCCAAATCTGATTATTATTGTCGTATTGGTGATAAAGTAAGTATCTCTATAAAAATATAAAAAATTATAATAGCCCAATTAAAATCATTATTAAACATATTACTAATTCACTTTATTTTATTTTTTTAAAATCTAAAGTCATCAGCAGTCGAATTTTTTAGACAAACATTTGAAAAAACAGTACCATTAGGTCAAAAATTAGATATTGTATTTACATTAATTAGAATGGGTATTTTTTGGATGGATCACGATCTCGTTACAAGAAATCTCGAAAAAGCTAAATCATTAGTTGAAGAAGGTGGTGATTGGGATAAAAAGAATCGTTTAAAGACTTATGAGGCAGTTTATTTAATGTCTATTAGAAAGTTCGAAGAAGCCTCCAACCTCTTTTTAGAAACAGTTGCCAGTTTTACCTCTGTCGAATTCATAGAATACAGCAGATTCGTAGAATATTTAGTTTTCACTTCACTCTTACATTTAGACAGAGTTTCATTAAAACAAAAAGTTATTGACTCACCAGATGTCTTATCAGTTATTAACGATGTACCAAGACTTCAAGATTTATTATTATCTTTCTATAATGGTGATTATGCTAATTTCTTTAGCGCTTTAGGTATGTTTTTTTAATTTATAAAAGAAAATAACTAAAACAAAATAATAATAATAATATAAATTATAATAGCAGTAATAATAATAAATTCTAACCATTATTCATTTATTTTATTGATATAAATATAGCCCATTTCTCTGATGATATCAAAGGTGATAGATATTTAGCTGAACACTCACGTTTCTTCACTAGAGAAATGAGAATTCTTGCTTATACTCAATATTTAGAATCATATTCATCTGTAAAATTAGAATCAATTTCCAACCAATTTGGTGTCTCTGTCGACTTCATTGATAAAGAATTATCACGTTTTGTTGCTGCTGGTCGTTTAAATTGCAAAGTTGATAAAGTTTCTGGTGTCATCGAAACTACAAGAAGTGATGTCAAGAATCAATTATATAAAACTACTCTTCAACAAAGTGACAATTTATTAAATAGAATTCAAAAACTTTCACGTGTCATTAATGTTTAAAGTAATTACACTCGGCACATTACCAAATAGTCTTGCAAAACTCACATTACCAAATAATCTCACAACACTCCACTCACAGTATTAATACTGTTAAAAATAAAAAATAAAAAAAAAAAAACAAAAATAATAAATAAATAATGTAAATCCAATTTTTATTTAATAAATAAAAAATAAAAAAATCTTTTAAATCTAGTTTTGTTTCTTTTTGTTTTTGTTTAATATTATTTACATGTGGTGTTTTTTATTTATTTTTTTATATGTGATAACTTTATCAAATTTATTGTTCATAAACTTGACCATCATACATTGATTTATCCATTCTTTGTTGTCTTGGGTCGTGGAATAAAGTTTTAGTTCTTTCATCACCATCCAAATCGAAAACTACTTTAGCTTTAGGTTGAACAGCATCAAGATAATAGTGATTGTCACAGTGTGGACAGTATTCATCGGCCTCCTCAAAAGCTTTGAGATTTTTTCTAAAAACCTTTTTACATTTTTTGCATGCAAATACTATTTCATCGCTCTTATAAATTTCGTGATCTGATACCTCTCTGTGGCATTCATGACAATCGAACCATTTTTTACAACATACAGCTCTAATTTGTACTTGAACGTTCTATAATAAATTATTTTATATTAATATAAAATCCAATTATAAATTACAATATTATTTTGTTGTTATTAATGCTATTGCTGTTGCTATTGATAATGTTGTTAATTTGTAAAGATTCTTACAAGAATATGTTTACACATCTTTATGTATTGTTTGGAGTAAAACAAAATTAGTAAATGAAAAAAAATATTTAAAAAAATTTTAAAAAATAAAAAAAAAAAATAAAAAATTTTATTTTTATTTTTTTATTTTATATTTAATTTGTTTATTTAAAAAAAAAAGAAATTTAAAAAACGAGATAAATGACAACAGCAACAACCAATTTAAATTATAAACATCTGGACTATACATCAGACAGTGTAGAATTTTATCCTAATCAAAATAATTTATTTGTTTGTGGCACATATGAAATAGAAAAAGGTGACACCGAATACAAAGAAAGAAGAAAAGGAAAACTATATTTATTCGAAATTGAAGAACCATCCCAAGGCAATGAGGAGCTACCAAATTTTAAAGAAACTCAATCCATAAATTATAACAGCGGTATATTGGATATGAAATGGAATAAAAGTGGTGAGCAATTGGGTGTTGTAATGTCAAGAGGTGAATTAAATATATATAATTTTAAACAACAAGAAAAGCAGCTTGAACTTTTAAAATCATCCGAAATATCGTTGGACAGTGGTATATTGTCATTATCTTTAGATTGGAATGTAAGCGGCTCAAAAGTAATAGTTAGTTTTAGCGATGGCAAAGTAGGCATTTTCGATGTAAACTCATTAGACAATGCAATTTCAAGATGGAAAGCACACGACTATGAAGCTTGGATCTGTGCATTTAATTATCACAACGAATCAATTGTTTTTTCAGGCGGTGACGATTGTAAATTTAAAATATGGGATACTAGAATAGCAGTAGAAGAGAATGATAATGCTCCAATGAATACAATTACAAAGAAATGCGATATGGGTGTAACTTCGATACATTGTCACCCATCAATGGAAAATATAGTTGCTGTAGGTTCTTATGATGAATGCTTAAGAATTTGGGATTTAAGATCAATGAGACAACCTTTAGTTCAAACCGATTCACTTGGAGGTGGTGTTTGGCGTGTTAAATGGCACCCATACAATAAAAACCAATTAGTTACCGCATGTATGGGTGGTGGTTTCCATGTTTTGGAATCTGAAAGCGAAAACGATTTCTCAACACTTCAAGTTATAAATTCATACGAAGGTCCACACAAGTCAATTGCATATGGTGTTGATTGGTCATACAACAAAAACAATGATAAGCAACATATTGGTTGCTGTTCATTCTATGACAAGTGCCTATCCATTTGGAACCCATAATAAAAATCATCAGATTATTTTTAATATTTTTTTATTTATGAATTTAAAAATCTTTTTTTTTTTTTTTCAATTTTTTTTTTTTTTTTTTTTTTCACCATTTTTTTTAAAATTTATAAATTCATATTATCGTTTGATTATCATTAAATAAAATATGGATACTATAAAGTTTGATAAATCCGTGTGCAATATCAGTTTTAATAAAGATAAAAGTTTATTAGGATTATGTACATCAAGTTTAACAAATACAAATTGGAATGGTAGTGTTGAAATTTTTGAATCCAAATCATTGGAAGAAGAAAAAGAACCCTCATCAAAACAATCAATAGACTTTTACTCTGGAGTCACTTGCATAGAATGGATAAAACCAAATAAGTGTGTTGTATCTGCTGATGACTCTAATATCTATTTAGTAGACTCAACAAAAGACAATAAAAATACAGAAAAAGAAGAAAATATTTATAGTGAAAATGATGATGATATTTTATTTAAAAATGGACATCATAACAACATTATATCACATTTGAACCATAATGAAAATACACAACAATTGTTGTCATCAGGTTGGGACAAAATAATTAAGCAATATGATTTAAATACACACTCAACAGTTACCCAATTTAATAGTAAGTTTGATAATAAACCATAAAATTAATAATAATAAAAATACTAACTACATTATTTATTTTATTTTAGTACATTATAAAAAAGTCAATATGTCATTATGGTCAAAAACATCAAATGATTTATTTTTATCAGTTTCAGATAATGGTATTGTTGTTTGGGACTCTAGAATCAATATAAACAGTAACGAACAAGATATTAAAAGTGCTTTTATTAAAGAATCAAACATTGCAGTATTGTCATGTTGTTGGGATATTGAAAATGAAAATATTTTTTATGTAGGTTTGAAGAATGGTGATATTAAACAATACGATATTAGAAACTCTGCTATAGAAAGAAAATGTAAACAACATGAATTAGCAATCAACCAACTATCATTCAACCCAGCCAACAATAAACAACTATTAAGTATTTCAGATGATACATACATCAAATCACTAGATATTAAATCATTTGTAGATGGTGAAACAACAACTGCAACAATAGAAAACAATATAATTTATAAATCAGATGATTTTATTAAAACATTCGATTTTGATAAATCAAACAATATATACATAGGTTCTATTAATAAAACTTTAAAAAAAATTAAATTTTAATTATAATAAAATACAATAAAATATCTTTATTACTATTTTAAATTTTAAAAAAACTATTATTATTTACATTTCTTTTATTTTATTTTATTTAATTTTATAAAACACTATTTGAATTTATATTCATTTCTTTACTATTTTGTTTATCTTTGCAGTTTAAACTATTTTGGTAACATGATGGATGGTAGGGTGTAAAGTTATCAAAAGTTCTAAATGAAGGTGGCAAATACATATATTGAGTTGAGTCTAAATGTAAAATATCATTACAACCCTTGCACTCTTCTAAAAACAAACCTCTAAAAGACCATATCCACGATAAAACACTCTTTAAAATTGAACCATTTGGATTTGCTGAATAATAACTGATAGCCTCGAATGAATTTTCTGAAATTTTTTTAAAAATATTATATTTTGATGATGCCCATAAAGAATCAAACTATATTTGAAAAAAAAAAAAACAATTAGTAAAATTTAATATAAAATAATGAAATAATTGAATAAATACATTTTCTTTTATACCAAAAAATGAAATTCTGTCAATTGTAAAGCATTCTTTTTTATCATTTGGTATTCCAAAACAAATTAAGCATTTGAATACATCGGGACACTCGACAAATAAACCCTTTGGTGCACCTAATGATTGCTTTTGGATTTCGAAAAACTCTAAAGCAGACTCTTGTCTTTGTGAATGAATAACCTTTTCAATATTTGTAAAATAATCGTATGATAAAGGCGGTGTTGTTATCAATGGTGTTGATGGCAATTTAAATAATGGTGAGGGTGTAGTAGTTGATGTAACTGGTGATGTATTGGTTAGTGTAGTTGAAATTTGTTTTCTCTTTTTCGATAATGAGGATGACTCTTCTTCCTCTTGGAAAATAATTGGGAATGAAGACTTTAGCTTATCTTCAAGCTTTGACAATGCCATATCTGATTTATAAGAAGTTGTTGATCTCCAGTAATTTTCGGTACGCAATTCTAACTGAGCCAATATATTCTTTGAATCATAAACACCTGTTGAGTATGCCCATAATGCCTCTTGTGATGTGAAATTTGATGATGAAATTTGAAATGAATATGTTGATATTTTATGTGATACCTTATCTATAGATCCAATTGATGTGAATAAATATTCCATAGATTTCCTTAATTTCTTTTTCATCTCGTCTTTGCTGATGGTGGTTTTTTGTGATTTTGCCTCTTCTATAAAAGAATTAAAAAAGTCTGAAACATTAGATCTAACCATACTAACATGTTTTAATAAATTATCGTATTGCTCTAACAAATATTGTTGTTGAACAGATGTGAGTGTATTGGTTGGATGAATTTGTAACTGTTGTAAAATTATCTGCTGTTGCATTAATTGCTGTTGCATTAACTGTTGTTGTTGCTGTTGCTGCTGCTGTTGTTGTTGCTGAGTTTGTTGAGCATGTTGTTGTGCTTGTTGTTGAGCCTGTGGGTTTTGATTTTGTAAATTTTGTTGTTGGGATTGTTGATTCTGTTGTTGTTGTTGTTGTTGTTGTTGCGCCAATTGCTGTTGTTGCAATAATTGTTGTTGTTGTAGTTGTTGTTGTTGTAATAATTGTTGTTGTTGTAGATGTTGTTGTCTTTGTTGTAATAGTTGCTGCTGTTGTGGAGTTAATAATTGTTGTTGTTGTTGTTGTTGTTGTTGTTGCTGTTGTTGCATTTTTATATTTTCTATGTTAGTTTAAAGATATATGCTTTAAATATATCTTTATTTCTAAAAGAAGTTTAAAATCATATTAAAATTAAAAAAAAAATGAAAAAATGATTTTAAAAAAATTAAAAAAAAAAAAAATTAAATTTTAAAAATTAAAAAAAAAATAAAAAAAAAATAAAAATATAAAACCCCATTAGGTGATTGAATAATTATATTTTTAGAATGAAATAAGCATATTAAAATATTTAATTAAAAACTTTGATTTATTTATTTTTTTAATTTTTAAAAAGAATAATTATTTGTTATTTTTTTTATTAATACTGATCGTATGATTTTGATCTTGGTGATCTGCAAATACGAATAATTAAGAATAAAGAGAATAACATACAAACTAATTCAATTACACCAATTGCAACACCAGAGGCACCAACGAGATATAATTTTGATGGAATTTGGCTTTCAATAATTTTATCACAGAAACCTTGAGTTTTAATTACACCAGATTTATCCTTTGGACATAATTTCTCTCCTTCAGTATCACTTGAGTTCCAACGGCAACATCCCAAAAACTCCTCGAGTTTAGTGATAGTAGAATTCTTTGGACCATTTGAAACATCGTACCAACTTTGGCCAACAGTTTTAAGAATATCATCGTTTTTAAGAGTTAAAGCTTTACCACCAACACCAATTAAAGCAACTAAAAGAACAAGCATTAACAAAGTGTAAATTACAAGACCAACCAACTTTTCACGATAAGCGACATAACATCCTGCAATAGTTAAAATTACAAAGAATATACCAATAACCAATATACCAGCTGGTGCACTAGTAGTTAAATTACTAAGAGCCGATTTAGCATTTGCTGCATTTGTAAAATCTTTAAAATTTGAAAAGAATGATACTGCAAATGCACCCATAACTAACAATACCAATCCAAGTATCTATAAATAGAAATATTAATTATTGTTAGAAATTTATATAAACAAAAGCATATATATATTTATATATATTTAAATAGAAATAATAATTACCCATAATATTGAATTTAAAAAGATTAATGGTACTTTAAGATAACGAGGAGTCTGCGGTAAGAGATCTGATGAAAAATTTGCCATTTTATTTATATATTTGAGTTATGTATCTTTTCTTATTATGAAAAGAAATTATTTTTAATTGATAAAAAGATTGTAAAAAAAAAACTAAATATTAATATACAATGATTAAATTTGAACAATAAAGAATATGAGAAAAAGAAATATTAATATGAAATAAAAAATAAAAATAAATTATATTAATATTGAAAAAAAAAAAAAAAAATAATATTAAAAATAAATAAATAAAAATAAAAATAAAATAAATTTTTATATCTGTGTATATATCAGCACATACCCTATTACTATGCATATTTCGAATTCTCTATGTATTTATGATTTACTAAATATAATTATTTTTTTTTTTTTTATTGCATTTATTATGTGTGTGTTTGTGTTGTTTTTTTTTTTTTTATATATATATAATATTACAAATACCCCCTTTCACACCAAATTAAAAAAAAACAAATAAAGAAAACAACTGTGTTATATGATGACCCCAATTTATTGAAAAAATCATTTTGATTTTTTTTTTTTGAAATACATAAATAGTAATAATTGGTAGTCTACAAATAGTGAAATTAATAATATAATTAATGTAAAGCAATAACAATAACAATAACAAAAACAATATTAATAATAATAATAACAATTAATATCGATAATATATAAAAAAAAATTATAATGTGATATATGAAAAATTGTATATCATTTTTTTAAGTAATATTTATAAACTTTTTTTGGAAATTAAAGTATAATTTTAATATTAATTGTTATTTTTGTAAAAAAATTATGGGAATAATTTTTATTGTTTTATAAGTTTTTTTTTTTTTAATTTTTATTGTTTTAAATTTTTTTTTTAAAACTGAAAGGCGCCTTGTTTATTTTGTGTGGATTATAAATAATAATAAAAATGGTATTGCAAGAAAATAATAATAATGAACAACAACAACTACAACAACAACAACAAATCATGATTGGTATGTTTCCATTTATAATAATAAAAAAAAATAAAAAAATTAAAAAAATAAAAAAATAAAACAAACACTCACTTTTTTTTTAGACAGAGACCCATTTTATAAAAAAAGCTTGTTGGTTACTGGAGGCCCAATTGAAAATTTGAAAAATGAGCTAAACTATGAAATAATAGAAGACCTAAGAAATAAAGTAAAAGATTTAGACAAAGACGATTGGATGTACGAAACAAATACCTCACACCATTTTAAACATTAACCAACAAACAGTAACAGCAAAAAATACGCAAACAAACAACACAAACCCAATATATTTATTTTTAAAATAAAAAACTGTATTATAGCAATGTAAATAAAATAATAAAATAATATAAAATAATATAAAATAATATAACACACACAATAAAAACTAAAAAATTAATTTTAAAGTTTTTAATTTTTTTTTCTATTTTTTTTAAATTTTTTTTCTTTATTTATTTATTTTATTTTATTTTATTTATTTGTTTATTTAAATATATTTATAGTTTTTAAAAATTCATATTCTTTTATTATTTAAAATTTATATATTAATAGGTGAATTGGTTGTATAAAAAATTTTTAATTTTTTTTTACATATAAAAATTTTGTAACATTTTTTTAGGGCTTGTCCTAAAAAAAATTTTAAAATTTTTTAAAAAATTTTTTTTAAAAAAAATTCGAAAACTAATTTTTTAATATTGAATTTTTTTTTTTTACTATCGTCACGTGATATATAACATATACAATGGTATGACTACACACACATATACTATCACTTATCACTTTGTGGAATCGATTGGAATATAGGGTTATCTTTATCAATCTTTAATTTATCCAACATTAATCCAACATTAATCCAACATTACACCAACAATCAACCATTTACAACCCCACTAAAGATACAAAAGTGAAAATATGATTCGTTATTATGACAAAATTTTCTAATTATCTTCTATCTTATCCAACAATAGGTCAACATTCCAAAAGCTCGTAAGACCCACTGTGTCAAGTGTAACAAACACACCCCACACAAAGTTACCCAATACAAAGCCGGTAAACCAAGTCTTTTCGCTCAAGGTATTTTTCATATATTATTTACTATTATATAGGTTAGGTAAAAAAAAGGATTTATAACTAAGATTATTTATTGATTTATAGGTAAAAGACGTTACGATCGTAAACAATCAGGTTTTGGTGGTCAAACTAAACCAGTTTTCCACAAAAAAGCCAAGACTACCAAAAAGATCGTTCTCAGAATGGAATGCTCATGTGGTTACAAGAAACAACAAGTCCTCAAACGTTGCAAACGTTTCGAACTTGGTGGAGAAAAGAAAAAGAAGAACGAAGCCTTAAAGATCTAAATTATTTAGTAATACTTTTCTTTATCTTGTTAAATAAAAAAAGCTATATAAAAAAAATCTATAAAAAATAATTTTAGGTTATTTTATTTTTTTACATATTATTTTATTTATTTTTTCATATACTGTTTTTCAACCCCCACTTTATTTTTATTTTTTAAAATTTTAAAAAACAGCAAAATTATAAAAATTAAACAAATAGAAAAACACATACCTATTTTTTAAATGAAGGTATTAAAATAGATATTAAATATCGATCAATATCATACTCAATTATTTTAATTTTATTTATTACTTTCTTTTTTTTTTTTTTTTTTCTAATCTTTTTTTAAAATTCTACTACTAATTCTCTCTGATCAAACCACATGCTCGCACTTGAGTGACTTAAAAAAACACAAGTAGTGGTTATATGTTTTTGATGTCTCAGATAAAATTATTTGTATAGTATTTAATACCACTATTTAAAAAATAAATTGTTATAAAAATAGGGTATTTTTGTACGTTTATATTTTTTTTTTTTATTATTCTTCTAAAATAATGTCATTATAGTTATATACCTTATTTGGTTTAATTTAAGTCAAAATGAACAACATCATTCTTAAAAAATAATTATTATTAAAAAAAAAAATTAAATTAATTTTGAAAAAAAAATTAAAAAAAAAATAAATAAAATTTTTTTTTTTTTAATTATTTTTTTATATTTTTTTTAAAATAAATAAAATTTTTTTTTCAATATATAAAAAACCATTATTATCATATATTTTAAATAGTTTTAATAAGTATTTTTAAAAGTTTATTTTTTAATATAGATAGATAAAATATAAACCTATTTAAAAATAATATCATATAATTAAATTGATTATTTGGTACAGTTTATATTATTTTCTATATTAATTATTTATTTATTTATATATATATATTTATTTATTTTCAAAAATGATTACATGTCCAGAGTGTAAAACAGATTATGAAAAAGAAGCAAAGTATTGCTTCAAATGTAGAATAGCATTTACAGATGATTTACCAGAGAATATTAGTAAATATCTTAAAAAAACTGTATGTATTAAAATAATTATATAAATTTTTATATTCATAAATATTAATAGATATTATTTTAGCCATCAACATCAAATATACACGCAGCAACAATGACAAGTACGATTGGTAAACCACCATTAACTCGAAATCCATCAATAGGAGCAGGTATAACAAATAAACCACCACTCATAAATAGTAATATAAATAATAACAACATTTCAATATCAAATAATAGTAATATATCATCTGTATCATCACCAATAAATAATGTATCATCACCAATCCAAAATAATACAAGTAGTGCAAACTTAAATAATCTAATTAATAGCGGAGGTGGAAGTCGACCAAGATTGCAATCATCTCCAGTACATCCAACCAATCCTTTACCACCAATCCCACCAAGTAACAATAGAATGAGTGTACCTCTATCTACATCACCCACTGTTAGAACTCCACCACCTCCACCAACCTCATCCTCACCAACCCAACAATATACAAACAATACAGGTCATTCAACATCACCATCTGCGCATATAAATAAACCACCAACTCCACCAATTGGTACAAATAGTACCATTGTTATCAACAGCAATAACAGCCGAAATATCTCACCAATCAATACACCCCCAACCAATACACATAGCGCCTCACCAGTTAATGTCGATTACTCTGCAACTTCCAACTATTCTTCTCCACAATTTACAAACGATTATAACAATACAGCTCCAATGTCTAGAAGACCACTTTCTAGAAGAATACCACCCCCACCACCAACTAAAAGAATTGCACGTGCAAAATGGGATTGTATACCTGACCAAGAAGGTGATTTAGGTTTTAATGCTGGTGACATTATTACTATTATTAGTAAAGATGATGATGGCTCAGGTTGGTGGCTTGGCTCTGTTAATGGTAGATCTGGTTTATTCCCCGCAAACTATGTAGTATCCATTGACTCAAATGACCCTGCTGCAAACTAAATATAGATAATCAATAATAATAATAAATAATATTCTCAAACATCATTAAAATTTATATTCAATAATGATAGTATAATATTTTTTTTTATAAAAAAAAAAAAAAAAAAAAATCAATTTAATAAGTGATAAAATAATCAAACCCATATTCTTTTTTTTTTTTCCTCAGATATTAATAGTCAAAAAATAAAAAATAAAAGTAGAATTAAAAAAGTCATATTTAATTTTAATACAACCCCAATTTTTTTTTTTTTTTCGTTGGAATCTCTATTTTGATCTGGTATTATTGCAAATATAAAAAAGATTTTTTTTTTTTTTTTTTAAAAAAAAAAAAACAATCATACACATATTAAATATCAGGAAAATGGATATAATGATTAATATTTCAAAAAATAAAATATAAATAAATAAATAAATAAAATAATTTTTTGAAATAAATTTCTATTTTTAAATTTTTTTAAATATTGTGAAAAAAATAGTATTTGGAAAATAATCTAGAGCAATTGAAACCATTATTATAAGTATGATACAGAATCATTAAAGAAAAAATATTATTTATCTATTTTTAAGAGTTAATTATATCAAAACTTTCTAAAAAAACGTAGTTCGGTAAAAACAATATAAATAAATTCGGTTTTGATTTTTTTTTTTTTAATTATTTTTTATTTTATTTTTTTTAAAAAAAAAAAAAAAATTAAAAAATAAAAAAAAAGGTTTTTTTTTTTTTTTTTTTAATTTTTTTTTTTAAAAAACGAGTCGGGGAGAAAGATCCATATAATTTATCTTTCTTAATTTTTCTATTATTTATAAAAAAAAGATTCTTTTTTTCTTATCAAATATATATACTTACAATAAATAAGGGAAGGGATGTTTGGTTAAAAATTTCATTTTATTTTTTTTTTTTTTTGGGTGGGGAAAAAAAAAAAAAACGAGAAAGTTAAAACCCAGACAAAATCATTTTTCATTTTATAACAATAATAATTTCATAATAATAAATTATAATTTAATAAAAGTTACTTAATAAAAACAATTTTAAATTGTTTTTTTAACTTTATAAACTTTTAAAAACTTGCAGTACGCTTAATAATAATATTAATATTAATAATAGGAGTAATAATAATAAAATAAACAATTCAGTTTTTTTTATAAAATCATTAAAAATAGATTAATAACTCCAATTTATATACTCAGTTTAAAAATAATTATTTTTTACCAAAAAAAAAAAAAAAAAAAAAAACGATAAATATATTTTTTTTTTCAATTATAAATATTAATAAAAATTTTATTCATTATAATTTTATAGGTAGAGGCGGTTTCAGAGGTGGTCGTGGTGGTTCAGGCGGTCGTGGTGGCAGTCGTGGTGGTTTTGGCGGCGGTGGTCGTGGCGGTAGTGCTGGTGGCGGTCGTGGCGGTTTTGGCGGCGGTGGTCGTGGTGGTGCTGGTGGTAGAGGTGGTTTTGGCGGTGGTGGTCGTGGTGGTGCTGGCGGTAGAGGCGGTGCTGGTGGCCGTGGTGGTAGAGGTGGTGCTGGCGGTAGAGGTGGTTTTGGCGGTGGTGCTGGCGGTAAAGTCGGTGCTAAAGTTATTGTTGAAAAACATCCAAGACACGATGGTGTTTTCATTGTTAGAGGTAAAGAAGACAGTTTAGCCACATTAAACTCTGTTCCAGGTGAATCAGTCTATGGTGAAAAGAGAGTTTCAGTTGAAGTTGGTACTGAAAAGAAAGAATACAGAATTTGGAATCCATTCAGATCAAAGATTGCCGCTGGTTTACATCGTGGTGTTGATGATATTCATATTAAACCAGGTAGCAAAGTCCTTTACATTGGTGCTGCCTCAGGTACTACAGTTTCACATGTTTCAGATTTAGTTGGTCCAACTGGTGTTGTTTATGGTGTTGAATTCTCACATCGTCCAGGTAGAGATTTAATTGGTATGGCCAAAAAGAGAACCAACGTTATCCCAATTATTGAAGATGCTCGTCATCCACAAAAATACAGAATGTTAGTCGGTATGGTCGATGTTATTTTTGCTGATGTTGCCCAACCAAATCAATCTCAAATTGTTGCTCAAAATGCTGCATACTTTTTAAAGAACGAAGGTCACTTCATCATTTCAATTAAAGCTACCTGTATTGATTCAACTGCCCCAACCGAAGTCGTCGTTCAAAACGAAATTAACAAATTAAAGAAAGAAAAATTAAAACCACAACAACTCTTAAAGACTCTTGATCCATATGAAAGACATCACAGTTTAGTTATAGGTACTTACAGAAAATTCTCAGACGATAAATAAACAAAAGCGATGTTAATTTTATAAAAAAAAAAAAAAAAAAAAAGTATATAAAACCATTACCATTTAAATAAAAAAAAATTAAAAAAAAAAATAAAAAAAAAATTTTTAAAAAAAATATTATTCTTATTTTAGTTTGTATAATATTATTTATATATCTTTTATAAAATATTTTATAAATATTGTAAATTTCAGATATTTAAATATTATTTATTTTTTATTTTTTTATTTTTTAAAAATTAAAAAAAAAATTTTATGTAATTTTTTATTTTTTTTATTATTATTTTTTGTTTGTTATAAACTTTAATTTTTTATATATAATGTTTTTAAATAAAATTATTAAAAAATCATTCATTAAAAATCATTTTAATAATAAACTATATTGTTATTTTTCAACGACAACTAACGAATCAAAATGGGGTGGGGGTATATCAAATAGACCATTGGGTGGATTAAAGGTATTGGATTTAGCAAGAGTTTTAGCAGGACCATGGACTACCCAACTGCTTGGTGATTTGGGCGCAGATGTTATTAAAGTTGAAAGCATCGAAAAAGGTGACGATACAAGATCCTGGGGTCCACCATTCAGGGTCGATTCAGAAGGTAATAAAAGCAGTGCTTATTTTAGTTGTACCAATAGAAATAAAAGATCAATAGCGGTAGATATTAGCACTGAAAAAGGTCAAGAGATAATTAAAAGTTTAGCAGCCGAGGCAGATGTTATGATAGAAAATTTTAAAGTTGGTGGTTTAAAAAAATATAAATTAGACTATAAGTCAATTTCAGAATTAAACCCATCTATTGTGTACTGCTCCATAACTGGTTTCGGTCAAAGTGGACCATATGCAAGTTTTCCTGGTTACGATTTCTCTATTCAAGCTATGGGTGGTCTTATGGGAATTACAGGTGATGAAAATAATCCATACAAGTGTGGTGTTGCTATTGTGGATGTTATGACTGGTTTATATGCAAATGTTGCAATTCAGGCCGCACTCCACAATCGTTATAAAACTGGTAAGGGCCAATATATAGATATAAGTTTACTTGATGTTCAATCAGCATTTTTGGCAAACCATGAAGCAAATTATCTATTAACAGGTCAAAACTCTAAAAGAATTGGCAATTCACATCCAAGTATTTCACCTTATGATTCATTAAAAACCAAAGACGGCTTTATAGTGGTTGCAGTAGGTAATAACTCTCAATTCACCTCAATGTGTAAAGTTTTAAATCTAAATGATTTACCAAATGACCCACTATTTAATACAAATCCAAATAGAGTTGCAAATAGAGCCCAATTATTAGATATATTAACCAAAGAAACATTAAAATATGAAACCGAAGAGTTGGATCAATTATTTTCAAACTCAAATGTACCATCATCCCCAATTAATACATTAGATAAAGTGTATAACCATAAACAAATTAAACACCGTAATATGGTTTGGAGTTTAAATAAAGATAATATAGATGATAATAATAGTAATAATACAGATGATAATAATAGTAATATTAAATTTGGAGATTTGGTTTCAAAAGGTTTATATCAAACCGATACAATTAATATGATTGGTAACCCAATTCACTTTAGCGAAACCGATTTACATTCAAAACAAAGTATTAAAGAAAACTTACCACCTCCACAATTAGGTGAACATACCGATCAAGTTTTAAAAAATGTTCTATCACTATCCGAAAATGAATTAAAAGAATTAAGAGATAATAAAATTATACAATAAATAAAAATGTAAAGCTATATAAAAAAATAAAATTTGAAAACTTTTTAAAGAGTATAGTTTTACTTTAATCTATATAGCTTAAACTATAATTATTATATTTTATTTACAATTATTTATTTTTTAATTTTAAAGGTTTTAAGCTGTTTTTTTCTTTGGTTCAGATTTATAGGTTCTCTTGTAGAATGCACCAAAGAGGATAATAAAACTGACCATATAAGCAATCATTGACCAATGCATCCACTATAATAAAAAGAAAATATTAGTATTTTTAAAATAAACTAAAAAAAACAATAAAATATATAATAATTACATTTGGGAAATCACAATCCATGTAAATGGCCAAAAATGATGATAGGATATTGAATACGAATTGAATTAATTGTAATTGAGTTAAATATTTCTTCCACCAAACTCTGTAACCAAGTAATGCTAAGGTATAATAACCATACATAAGTGAGTGGACAAATGAATTCATAATGGCTGAAAAATATGAATCACCTCCAGCAGTATAAAGAATACCTATATACCAAAGAAAACCTACAGTTGAGTGGTGATAGATGTGTAATGGCTTTAAGATTTTTAAGTGGGTGGTTAATAAATAAAAAAAGTAAGATTAATATTATTATTTATTGAATTTTCGAATTTGCTGTATATTAAACTTACAGTTATTTGATTATCTTTTTTTCTTAATACCATAAAGACAGTGTCCATAAGTTCAATGAATTTTGAGAAGAAAAATAACCAAAGTACTTTTGCCATCTGTTGATAATAAAAACCAATTAATAACTATTTTGCCAACATAATATTTTTAAATTTAATCTACTTACACCTGTACCTTTTTCGCTATAGTCGACTGGATTGCATATTAATTTATAATCATTTGAATAGGCTTGATAGGCAATCTCTATAACCATATAAACACTCATAAGGAAACAAATTGCATTGTGAATGATTAATGGATATTTTAATTCGAATGGTTTTTGATTCTTCATTATCTTTCTTCCTAAAAATATAAATAAATAGTAACCTAAAATTAAAATTATCATATCGTGAGGTCTGCTCATTAATGGCCAAGTAATAACTCTTTCATCTAAAAAATTTTGAAATGAAAATTAATAAAATGAATATTATTAAATGATAATTGAAAATACACACCTCTTCTTGTATGATAATAATCATATCTTTCCGAAAGATAATTATAATAATCAACAATAAACATTTTTGATGATATATATATTTATAATTATATTTATTAAATTAAATTAAAAATAAAAAATGATAAAAAAAAAAAAAAATTTTAAAAAAAGATTAAAAAAAAAAATAGTTTAAAAATCATAAAAAAAAAAAAATAAAATAAATTGGGGAACATGTTTAAGAAAACCGAGCAGATAACCAGGTTTAAACATAGGTCTTTGATTAATGAATGACCCAACAAAAAAAAAATTAAATTTTTTTTGGTAAAAATAAAATTATTAAAAAAAAAAAACCTCAATAACTTTTTATATTTTATTGTGTAGGATTTTTAAAAAAAAATAAAAAAAAGATAAAAAAATAAAAAGAGGGTATAATGATTGGGTTTTAAAAATAAAGATTTTATTTAACATTTTTTTTAAAGTAACTCAGATAAAATGGATGCAGAAACAAGATAAAAGGAACCTATTTAAAAAAAAAAAGTGAAAGTTAGTATAAAAGTTTTATAATTATATGATTAAGACCTAAATTTAAATTGAATTTTTTTAAAAGTATATGATCAGATGTTTTTGGCTAGAATTAATAGTAAACCTTATGTTTTCAAGCATAGTCGAGTAAGACGGGGAAAGGAATCATCATAATATACTTTTAAAAAATTCAAACTGAATTTTAGGGTTGAGGGTAATGAAACTTACAAAGATAGAAAGAAAAGAATGTGGCTTGGGAAATCAGTAGTATCAAGAATCAAGAAAAAGAGAACACCTATTATAATGAAGAAAAATGATTAGTAAATTAGTTTTTAATTTTTTTATAACAACTATATTATTTATTAAAAAAAAAAAAGTATTATTCTCATAATAACTTTTGGTGAAAGTGTTGATTATCTGCAATGACTTTAAGAGTGGTGCAATGTGTTTTAATCATTGTAAAATATTCTTTTTTTTTTTTTTTTTTAAATAATATAATGTGTATTTTTTAATGTTATTATTTTTTTTTTTGTAGTTTAGTTACTTACAATCATTGATGAGAGCGTAATGAAAAATAAACTGAAAAATTTTGTTTTTATAAGCAATTTTTTTAAAAAAAATTTTACGGAAAAAAAAAAATTTTGAAAAAAAAAAAAAAAAATAGAAAAATTATAAAAAAAAAACGAGTAACGTATTTATTTATATAAAAACAATTATAATTACTCCTTTTTGTAACTTTGGTTTTATAAAAAAAATTTTTTATAAGAACTCTTTGTGCCGCGCTATTATTAGTGATTTCTTTTATAAATTTATTTTTATTAATATTTTTTTTATTTACTGTTTATTTTTACTTATTATATAAATGTTTCTTTAGATGTATATAGATATATTATTATATATAGCAAAATAACATTCCAATTTTTTTTAATTTTCAAATAATAGTTTTTAATCAAAAAAAATAATTATATAAAAAAAAAAAAAAAATATAAATAAATTTGGTGTGGTGGTGGTGGGTGTTGAAAAATATATGTGTATAGCGTATATTATTTGTGAGTGTGTTATTATTGTTTTTTTTTTTTTTTTTTTGATTAAAATTTTTCTAAACAAATATATAATTATTTTTTTTTTAAATCAAAATTAAAAAAAAAATTTTAAAATAATTATTTTTAAAATTTTTTTTTTAATTTATTAATTATTCAATTAAAAAAAAAAAACCAACACTCACAAATAATATACGCTGTATACATATATTTTTCTTTTTTTTTTTTTTTTTGTATATTTGGTTTATTTATATATAAACTAAAATATTATTTTGTTTATCCTATTTTTATTTCTATTTATTTATTTATTTATTTATTAATATTTTTTATAGTAGTAATCATTATTATAATTTTTTTTTTACTATTTTTCAAATAATAATTTTTTTAAAACTAAAATTATTTTATTATTGTTTTTTTTTGTTTTTTTTTTAATATAAATCAAATAATAATAAACAAAAAAAATGATATTTAAAAAATTATTTTCATTTAAAGGAAACAACAATAATACCAATGGTGGAGGTACAACTGGCAATAGTGGTGGTAGTGGTAACAATACAAGACCAAGAGGAGCGACATTTAATGGATTACCATCTCAAGCAGATGAAAATGGATCTTCTTTATCAAATTCAATTCAAGTAGGAGCTGGATCATTACACCCAAACAGCAATAACACATTAAGAAGTAGTAAAAAAGGTATTCAAACAAGCCAAAATAATAATAGTAATAATAATAATAACAATGGCCTAAGCAATAGTACAAGAAATACAATGTCATTCAAATCATTGGAATACGTTAAGGGATCAGGAACTTATTATGCAAACTATATGGATTTATTTGATATTCCACCACAAATTTTTGTGGGAGGAGAAGAGCAACCAAATTCAGTATTATCAACAAACCCAGAGCTAAAATCACTGGTATTAGATTTCAACAAGATTTCGGAGATACCACAATGTATAACATTATTACACAATCTTAAACATTTATCATTGGCAGCAAACCAAGTTAAAGACATACCCCCTTATTTATCGGAATTAGAACATCTCGAAACGTTAGAGCTCGGTATCAACTCATTTACTCAATTCCCAATTAATATTTGCAAAATCAATTCATTAACTTCACTTCATCTAGAGACAAATAATATTTCGCAATTACCATCAGAATTTAAATCATTAGATAATTTAAAGGTAAATTATCATTATTATATACTAGTTTGCAAATTTATAAATAATAATTTCTTTATACTCACATTATTATTATTATTATTATTATTATTATTATTATTGTTATTAGATATTAACATTACTAGATAATGATTTTAAAGAAATACCAGAAGAATTACCACCAAGTATTGAAAAGTTAAATATGGCCTGTAATCAAATTTCAAATACATTTTCACAAACATTGGTTTGTATGTCTCAAAGTTTAACTTCCTTAAATTTATCAGAAAATAAAATCGAAAAGATTGACCCATCGTGGAGTAAACTTGTAAATTTGCAAAATTTAATGTTGGACTGTAATTTAATTAGGGAGTTACCAGGTGAAGTTATCAAGAATTGGAAGCAATTGGTAACACTAAATTTACCACATAACTTTTTATCAGATATGCCAGCTGAAATTATATTGTTAACAAATTTAAGAATTATTGACCTCAGAGGTAACGATTTTGAGTTTTGCAAAAGAATACCCATCAACGAATCATCCTCAATTCTATTCAAAATTGACTCATTCATAAAAGATAAAACCAAATTGCACGATTTGAAATTCAATACAATTAAAATGATTCAAGAGCGTAAACTTTTAAGATCATCTATAAACAATAGTAAATTTTTACCACCATCACCAACAACTTCAACCAATATTCTGCCACAATTAGATGGTAATGAGGCTACCACTACTACCACTACTACCACAACAACCTCTTTGCCAATCATTACATTAAATGATGATTTAAATACTAATAATCAAGTCGATCCTAGTTCCGAAGGGGAGACAAACAATAACAATGTATCACCATCATTATCAAATTCATCCATCAAAGTTTCAGACAAGCAACAGTTTGAAGAAATTCAGCCACAAGATCAAAAACAAGATAAGGAAGCCGAAGGATCAGTATCATCACAAGAAGAGGCAAATGTAAATAGCGAAAAAACAGACCAAATACCATCACATCCAGAGGATGATGTATTTTTACTTGGTATTCAAAACAATTTAAATTTAGTACTTGATTTTGAAAAGCCATTAATTAAAATAAATGAAAGCAGTGATCAGGAGCAAACCCAACAAGAACAACCATCAGGTAATGAGAATAATGAGGAAATCGACCAGGCCCAAAAAGACAAGGAAGAAAAAGAAAGATTAGAAAAAGAAAGATTAGAAAAAGAAAGTTTGGAAAAAGAAAGTTTGGAAAAAGAAAAATTAGAAAGAGAAAGAATGGAAAAAGAAAAGCAAGATAAAGAAAAATTGGAAAAAGAGACCCAAGAAAAAGAAATTTTTAATCATAAATATCAAATTGAACAATTACAATTACAACTAAGAGAAAGTGAACGAGAGAAAGAAATGTTGGAGGAAGAAATTAAAAAGCAAAAAGAAATTGAAATATCGATCCAGAGCCAATTGGTATTCTGGCAATCAGTGTATCCCGATGAAATTATTGAAAAGCTTTACTTGGGTTGCAGAGAATGCTCCATGAATAAATCATGGTTACAAGACCACAATGTAACTCATATTTTAACTGTTGCCCATTTCAAGCCATTATACCCAAATGTAAGTAGATTTATAGTATTAATGGTGATAAAATATATTTATTAATTATTTAAATTTTTTATTATTTTTAGTTATTTAAATATAAAATTATAGACATAGAAGATGTAGATGAGGCAAATATATATAAATATTTTAAAGAAATGAATGAATTTATTGAGGAGGGTAGAAAGACTGGTGGTGTTATAATTCATTGCAGAGCTGGGGTATCAAGATCAGCCACAGCAACAATTGCTTATATTATGTATAAAAATAAAATGAAGTTTCAAGAGGCATTTGATATAACAATTAAAAAAAGATCAAGAATTTACCCTAATAAAGGTTTTGTTAATCAATTAAAGAAATATGAAAATGAATTATTCAAATAAAAAAAGAATAAAAAAACATAAATAAATTTAAACAAATGGTTAAAATTTTAATTATTTTAAAAAATTATTATATTTTTTATTTTATATTTTTGTTGTTGTTTATTTTTTATTGAACCAAGTTTTGGACTTTTTCTTTTTGTTTTCTTTCATATTCGGCTTGTCTTTTATCTTCTTTTTCTTTTTCAATACGTAATTTTTCTTTTCTTTCTGGCATAATACGAATATATTCTTGAATCTTCTTTTGTTGGTCTTCAGTTAATTTTGAACCACAAGCTGGATTGGCTTGGAAAAAGAATTGAATTGAACCTAACATATATTCGAATCCATCGACATCATCAATTGGTGTTTCGAAATCTGGGGTATCTTCGTCTTCAAAGAGTTGTTCGTCTTCATCGTCTTCGTTTTCATCATGTTGAAGTTCGCCTTCGAATTCAAAGTCATCTTCACCGTCTTCGATATTTAAATCACCAGCGCCGCTTCTGTAGTATTCAGTAACCTTATCGAGGTCATCTAAAAAGATTTCGTGATCGTCATCACCTTCACAATCGTCAGTGTCTTTGACTTCGGCAAATTCGAATTCTCTGTCGTGGTTCTTTAATAAGTCGTCAAGATCTTCATCAAGTTCGTCTTCTTCTTCTTCTTCTTCTGTGATGTTGCCCTTTAAAAGTTCAGCTTCGTATTCAGCATTCTTTTTGTCGAGATCTTCTTCGATCTTTAACATATCAACAGTGAAGTTTAACATCATGGTGATAATGGTGGTTGTACCATGGATAACAAAGTTTGGTGCTGGATTTAATGATAATAAAGCTGAAAAAGCTAAAACTGAAATCTTCTTATCGTAGAATCTTTGGAATTTACTGATGTTACTGAACCATTTTGAAAAGATTGGTTCTACTAAATTATTTGATTCGAGATATTTAATTGCAATGGATGGATTATAATAGATACAGTTGGCAATGATTTCAATGAGATAAACCATAAATTCCTTGGACATTTGATTATCTTTTTCTTTATTTAAAAGACGAGTGCATGCAATTTCCATAATTGGAGCAATAGCATTATCAATACGACCTTTACCACGTTGAACAACTGATTCCATAATTTTACAGGCATCAGAGGCATCAACTGGTGAATGACGAATATCACCAACCATCTTTTTGTACATATTGAAAATAGCTTCAATGTATTGTGGAGTTGAAAAGAAAACTTCGGTACCATATGAGATAAAGTTATCGATTGGATTGACGTATGATGAAATAAAGTCACAAGCAAACTCTTCAAAGAGTCCCATAATTTGTGGGTATAAACTCCAAACTAATGGTGAAATACTTTTTGGATAATAGGTTAAGAAGGTGAGGATACGAAGAGCTTCTTCTAAGTACATAATACAATCTTCTTTGAAGAGGGTTTGAAGAATTGGTACAATGTAGTTTTCCATTTGGTTAAATACATCTGGTACATCTTTGAGTGCTCTTAAGAGAGTGCAATAAACCATTAAACATTCTTGGCTGGCAACACTTTCATTTTCTGGATCTTTTTCTAACTCTAAGAGACGAAGGAATTGTTCAGAAAGGTTTCTGATAAGATTTGTAGCATATGGAGCAATTTCGTGTTTGAAACGTTGAATGATTGATTCGATTGAAACTACTAATTCTTCAGATTCGGCTTCACCTAAAAGACTGAAAATTTTATCTAATAATTGTGGAAGAATTGGACGAATTTCATTAAGACCTTGATGGGCACGAACTAAATTACAAATTGACATACCGGCTTTAATACGAACTGGTAAATCTTTATCTGACATTAATTGTAAAATTAATTTCAAAGCGTTTGAGAAATAAACTGGATTTGAGAACTCGATATTGTAAAATTCGCTAAAGAGAATACAGGCACGAGCACGAAGGAAACCATGTTCTGATGTAAGCTCTGGAAAAACATGAAGTAAAAGCATTTGTTCTAAATTTGATCTATAGAATTTAATATTCTTTAAATAAGTTGAAAGAACAGCAATAATAATTAAAATACCATCTTTTTCATTTGGATTCTTTTGTGATGCATCAGCAGCGCTGTTGTATACGTTTAACTTTTGAATACAGAAACCCATAATTGAATCTAAATTGGCTCTACCACGTTTACCAACAACATCGATAATGAAATTTAAAGCTTCAATACGTGGAGTTGCAAATGTGGCAGCAGATTCGAATTGTGAACGAAGGAATTCTTGTGGGTCATCTTCCCAGAGTTCGGCATCTTTTTCATTAAAGCAAAGAATTGGGAATAATATTTTTTGGATGAGATCGTTGAGGAAAGTTTTCATAACGACATAGGTAGTACCATAGATGACACTAGTTGTAAAGTATTCAATAAGTTTCTTTTGATAACGTTCATAGAATACACCATTGTTTTTAGCAACTAAACCACTTAATTGTTCGTAGAAAATCTTCATAATTTCAATTGAATAAGCTGGCATGAATAATGCAGATAATTGCTTTTGAGTTTCTGGATCTGACTTTCTGATTTTACCAGATTTTCTTAAAATTGTGCATAAAAGTGTTGATGTTGATTTCTTTAATCTCCACCAGTGATTCTTTCTACAATCTTCAATGAATTTTGAATTTTCTTGTACTGAAATATCTCTTTGAATAATTCTAACAAATTGATTTAACCATCCTTTTAATACTTCTGGTTGAACTAATAATTCTGGAATCTTAAATTTCATACAATAGGAATAGATTTTAATAATTTTCTTTTGCATAATTGCTGATTCAACAGTTTGATGATTTGCTAAAAATTCTAAAATTTGTAATAATAATGGTCCAATTTGTTTAATAATTTCATATAATGATTCTCTTCTCTTGTCATCTGATGGAATATATCTATTAAATTAAAACTATTAATATTTATTATTATTATTATTATCTTTTTTTTTTATTATGTATAACTTACTGATATCTTTTAATACCTAATTGTAATGAAGTTAAACCAGCTAAAATTAATTTAATATCTTGAGTATTGATGTATTGAAGAGCTTTTGGAAGTAATGAAGTCCATTTTTCTGGGAAATCACGGTTGGCAATAATTTCAATCATAACTTCGATTTGATTTTGAACTAAATGATGTGAATGAACTAATAAATCAATAAGATTTTCTCTAATAAATTCGGCATCTGATTCTGAAATTGGTGATTCATCTTCGACACCTCTCCATCTTCTAATAATCATATTCTTTAAAAATACAGCAACACTTTGTCTAATTGAAATATCGACTTCATTTGATGCTAAAATTTTTAATAAAACTTTTGAATAACCTTCTGTAACTTTAATCTATAAAAAAATTAAAATTTTATTAATTTACTGTAAATAATTTTTTTAAGGGAAAAAAAAAAAAAAAAAAAAGAAAAAAGGTATTTATTGTTTATCATTTTATTGTTTATTTATTAATAATTTATATTATTTATTATTTATTATTATTTTTTTTTTTTTTTATGACACATACTTGTGAAAGTTGTTCTTCAGCAGCTTTGATGACATTAGCATCAGAGTGAAGGGTATGATGGAATAATTGAATTGATTGGGCAATTAATTGATCCATTATTTATTATGTTGTGTTAACAAATAGTAATTTATATGAACAAACTAAAACAACGATAACAAAAACAATGACTTTTTTTTTTTTTTTTATTTTCGTTTTTTTTTTTTTAAAAAATTTTTATTTTTATTTATTTTTATTTATTTTTAATTTTTTATAATTTTTTTTTAATTTTTTTTTTAATTTATTTTTTTTTTTGAAAAAATTATTTGAATTGGTTTAAACCAAAACCAAAAAAAAAATTGAACTGTTTTGCTAATACGATAATAAAAAAATTAACCAATTTTAGATTTTCAAAAAAAAAAAAAACACCAAAATAAACTAATGAGCGAAAATGAAATAAAAAATATAAATTATAATAATGAAAATCAACAAACTAATCTAGAGCCAATCAATCCAATTGTAGATGATTTATCAGAACAATTAAGATTGAAAAAATTACAATTAAAAAGAAAATTAGAAGAAGATAATGGTATTGTGGATATTACAGATATAAATAATAAAGATAATAATAGTAATACAGATAATAGTGAAGATAATAGCAATAATCAATCCCGAACCAATATAGATAGCAATGATTTCACAAATCAAGAAATTAAATCAGTTAAATTAAACCCAGAAGAAGAGGCCCAACAAGTTTTAAATGAAACATTCATTGGATTTGGCGATGATTTATTTAAATTGGTTTGCAATGGTCCATTATTATCCAACTGTAATATGGCTGACAATAACTCTGGATCTTTTAATGATACATTTTATAAAGGTATCAAATGGTCACCAGATGGTACATGCCTTTTAACTTGTAGTGAAGATAAATACATTAGATTATTCGAATTGTAAGTGTTGATTAAAGTTAAAAAAAAAAAAAAAAAAAAAAAAATTTATTAATTTATTTTATATAGTCCATTCAATATTTTAAATACAGGAAAAAAAGAAAATATAGAAAATATAGAAAATATAGAAAATATAGAGAATTCAGAAAATAAAATAAAACAAAATATAAATGACATTGTAGATCTTAAACCTGTTATTGAAATTAAAGAGTTTGAGTCAGTATATGACTACTGTTGGTATCCACATATGAATTCAAATAACCCAATTTCATGCTTTTTTATAACAACATCGAAAGATTACCCAATTAATCTTTGGGATGCTTTTTCTGGTAAAAAAAGGTGTTCATATAAACCATATAAAGATGTTGATGATTTAGAATCTGCCTATTCAATTCAATTTAATAATGATGGCTCAAAGTAAGTGTTTTTATAGTTATTATTACAGTATTATTAATAAATATTGATTGATTTTTTTTTTATAGGATCTATGGTGGTTTTAAAAAGTCTATTAAAGTTTTTGATATTGATAGACCTGGTGATTATTATCAGGAAATTAAAACTACAAAGAAAAGGAACAAATCAATACAAAAGAATAAAAAGGGTAATTGCGAAGATAATCAAATCTATTTAAATGGTATGATCAGTAGCATTGCATTCGATAAAATGTCAATGAGTGGTTTCTTTGCTGCATCAACTTATAGTGGTAACATAGGTTTATTCGATGAAAGAATTGATCAGCTTGTAGATATATTGCCTGACCCCATAATCTCCACAGAAACCACAGCATCAATGGGGATAACTCAAATAATGTTTTCACCAAAAGATTCAAATTATATATTCGCATCATTTAGAAAATCAAATTATATTGTTGGCTGGGATATTAGAAACTCTGTTGCTCAACAAGTTTATCAATTATACCGCCCATTGGATACTCATCAAAGATTACAATTCGATATTGACCCTGTCACATCAAGATATCTTTCTACTGGCTCCCAAGATGGTAATCTATTTATTTACGATTTATTTTATAATGGTAAATTGGTTTATTCTAAACAATTGGAGCCACATTGCTTAAACTCTACAAGTTTCCATCCTTACTTGCCATTATTATCTACATCTTTTGGTGAAAGAGAGTTTAATTTAAAACAACTTGACCAAGATGAAATCGATCCATCAAATCTTCATCAGCAACCACAACTATCACAATTTCACAAAAAAAATAGCTTTTCCATTTTTAAATATAATTAGTTTTATTAATATGAAGGAGTAAAATTTTACACCTTTTTGTACAATTTAATCAAAAAAATAAAAACTATCGACCTGCATTGGCGACCTTTAGTTATTTTCCGAAAAAATAATTTATTTTTTTATTTTTTTTTTTTATATTTTTTTTTTAAATACCACCCCACAGGAATTGTTTGATTATTTTCAGATTGCTCTAAAATATATTTTTCTATACATAAAAATGAAATTATTTTTTTTAGTTTTATTAATTATTTTTAATTCTTCTATTATTCATTCATTTAAAATCAATTTTAATGAACATAACAACAATAATAATAGTGGTAAATATGTTTACAAACAAAATTTTCAACCTAGAGATACCAAATGTCAGAATCAAGTAATTGGTGAAGCATATGTAGTAACAGGTGAATGTAGTGTTGGAAGATTATATGAATGTATTAAAGGAAACACTGCCATTAGTTTTAAATCATGGATCAATGTAAATTGTACAGGAGAACCAATATCACACAATCAAATACCAGTTAACACATGTACAAAAGACGATCAAACATTGTATTCATGTGTAGATAGCTTAAATTTACCAACTTCAAATTCAATTATAAATATTATTTCAAATGACTGTGATTGGAAAAATTCAGCAATCGAGTTTGATATCACATATACAAATATTTGTCAAGAGAATGTATATCCATGGGAGTTTAGTTGCAATCAAACTGTTATGGAAACAAAAATTTACAAAACCAATAATGGAACTTGTACCGGTGCACCAAATGAAGTTTCATTTACAAATATTTCGCAATGTAAAGAAAACCCAGCACACAAAAAATTAAATTTTATTTGTAATGAATAAATAAATAAATATAGTAAATAAATAAATTTATTTCTTTTTAATATATATTCTTTATTTTTGTTTTATATTTAAAAATTTAAAGTTGCAAATAAATCTTCGTAAGTTTCGGCTCTACGGATTAATTTAATTTCGTTGTTTAATAATAAATATTCGGCAGATCTTAGTTTACCATTGTAGTTGAAGCCCATGCTGTGACCATGAGCACCACTGTCATGAATGACTATTAAATCGTTACGGTTAATTTCTGGTAAGGTTCTATCAACGCAGAACTTATCGTTGTTTTCGCATAGCGAACCTACAAGATCGTATTGTTTTAGTTTTGAAGGGTCTTTTGGATCTATAACGGTAACGTGGTGATAGGCATTGTACATGCCTGGTCTCATAAGATCGGCCATACAAGCATCGACACCAATATATTCTTTATAAGTTGATTTTGAATGAATTGCACGAGTAATTAATGCACCATATGGACCAGTGATTACTCTTCCACATTCAGTAACTACGTTCATTTGTGGTAAACCAGCATCTAATATTAATTCTTTATAGGCTTTGTAAATTCTTTCGGTAAGTTTTTGATAGTTTACTGCAACTTGATGTGGACGATATGGGATACCAATACCACCACCTAAATTTACCATTTCAAATTGAATACCGCATTGTTTACTGAGAGTTGCAACAGTTGAAAAAAGTAATCTTGCTGTTTCTTCAAAATAATCTATATCTAATTCGTTTGATGCTACCATACAATGTAAACCAAATCTTTTAACACCCAATTCCTTAGCTTTGTTATAGGCATTTTGTAAATCATCGCCAGTCAAACCAAATTTTGCATCTTTTGGGTTACCTATAATATCATTACCACTCTTCAATGGCCCTGGATTATAACGAAAGCTTAATAACTCTGGCATAACATTTCCCAAGCTTGAATAAAGATATTCTATTTGTGTAATATCATCCAAATTGATAATTGCGCCTAATTCATATGCTTTTTTATATTCGTTTTCTTTGGTATTGTTTGATGTAAACATAATTTCTTCACCCTTGAATCCAACTATATGTATACATATACATATTAATATTTTTTTTTATATTTATTTATATACAATATTTGCAATTACCTTTTTCTGATAATAGTAATTCTGCTAATGATGAGCAATCTACACCCATGCCAGTTTGTTCCTTTAAAATCTTTAAAATCGATGGATTTGGAGTTGCTTTAACTGCAAAATAATTTTTATAATTTGGAAAGTATTGTTGAAAATTTGTCATTAATGATTTACCATTCTCTACAATTTTATCACCATTATAAAAATGGAATGGTGTTGGGTATAGATTTGATGCTTTTTTAATATCTTCAATATTAAAATTTAATTCTTTATTTAAAACTTCATCTATTTTTGGTTCCATTATTATTTATTATTATTTATCTAAAACCAAATAAATGATCGAAAAAAAAAAAAAAAAAAAAAAAAAAAAAAAAATATTTTACAATTTTATTTTTTAAAATTTTTTTTTTAATTTTTTTAACCCCATTTTTTTTTTTTTTTTTAAAAAAAGATATTTATTGTTATTTTAATAGAAAATGATAACTTTATTTTATTTCTTTTTAATTTCTAAATCAAAACTATGAATTTTTTTATTTTTAAATTTTAAAATTATTGAAATCATTTTTGAATTTTATTTTTTAAAAATTTATTTATTTAAAAAAAATTATAAACAAATAAACAGTTTTATAAATAAATAATACCAAAAGAAATGGAGGATATAGATAAAAATGAAATAAAATTTTTTAAAGTTTTTAGAAATAAATTTTTAAGAAGTCAAATTACAAAGCATTTAGAAATTTATAGAGATGTAGAAGCTTTTTGTAGAAATAAATTCAATTCATTAAATCAAGAATCATTGAAATATTTTAAATATAGGGAATATATTCAAGAAATGAGATATAGTAGCAAAGTATCAAGTAAACAAAGATTATTCTTTAATGAAAACGAATATAACAAAGAAAAAATTGTGGATGAATCATTACCAATTATCCCAAATTCAATCCCAGATTCTGTAAAAGAGTTACACTTAGACTCGAATCAACATATTGTTGAAGGATCAATACCATCAAATTTAGAAATGTTAGTTATAACATCAGCCTTCAAAAGAGAGATACCAATAAACTCATTACCGAACTCAATAAAGAAAATTGTTGGTATTTTCTTTAAATTATTAATGTAAAATTAATATTAATTTTTTTTTTATTAATTTTAGTTTTTTTGTGGTCAATATAACGAAAATATTAGAAAAGGATCTTTTCCAAATGGCCTAAAATCTCTAAGCCTAATGACAAATAGAAATACCCCATTTAAACTTGAAATTGGGTCCCTACCAGATTCTTTAGAGTCTATCGAGTTTAGCTATGGTTTCAGTCAGAGTTTAATAGTTGGAGTTTTACCATTAAATTCTCTTACATATCTAGATTTTGGTAATGACTTTAATACACCCATTGATATAGCTGGAGTATTACCATCAAGCTTAAAGGTATTAAAACTAGGTCAATCATTCAATCAACCAATATTACCAAATATTATACCTTTTGGAGTGGAGCGTATTGAAATGGGTCCAAAATGGAATCAGAAAATCACATCAGAAAATACTTTTCCAACCTCTTTAAAAACGATTGTATTTGGTGAGGACTATAACAAGGTTATTGATGTTAATAAACTACCTAAAAGTTAGAGTACATCAAATTCTCTAGGAAATCAAATTTCGACAGCCATTCAATTTCTCATAATTAACATCATTAAAGACATTGGTATTGGGGTGGCTATATAACAGAGAGTTATCAGAATCATCACTACCAGAATCAATTGAATGTATAGTTTTTCTAAATCCCAATCAAGAACCCTTAAACCACAGACATTACCATCCAAATCTTTAGAGTATTTATATTTTAAATCAGCATTCTTTTTTGTTGAAACTTTAATCGAAGGTTCTATTCCCAAATCTGTAAAATATCTCTGTTTTGAAAATGGCTTTAATGATTTCCCAAACCATTTCATACCATCAACAATTCAATATTTGGACCTTGGTTTTAAATTTAACAAAATTTTAAAAAGAGAACATTTTTCAAGAGATCTATCTTCAATTTCAGGTAACCCTAATTTAAAAGTTTTAATATTTGGTGATAGTTTCAATATAAAAATCAACAGGGACTTTTATTTGCCACCTAGTATCATTTCTATAAAATTTGGTAGCAGCTACAATCAACTATTTGATGAATCTATCGAACAATTTCCATCCTCTCTTTTAAAAATAGAACTGGGTGTGGGTTTTAATCAACCATTAAATCATTTATCATCAACCAATGTCAAATTTTTAGTTATTAAAAATCCAAATTATGACCACTATAAATCAATTCCAAAAAACATCAAGTATTTCTCGAAAAATGGTTTATTTACCGATGACAAATCAAGCATTAAATATATACCAAGGAATAGTATATTCACTTTATTATCATCAAACCCAGACGATCAACTATTATTATCCTCAATTAACCAGTTTGAAAAAAACTATGTAAAACCCAAACCATTGTTAAACTATCCAAAACATTTCGAAAAAAATACCAAATTAAATCTTTTTTAAAATAAACAAATATAAATTACGTATTCATATTAGTTTTGTTTATTTTTTAATTTTTTTTTAATTTTTTTTATTTTTTTTTTATTTTTTTTAATTTTTTTTCTCAATTTTTTATTTATTAAATTTACAAAAATAAATTTAAAAAAGATTCAAAAATTAGTTACGAAACACATATTACTTTTAAAGAAATGTCAACAAATTCACAAATTAAAGATATCACATTACCACCATATTTTCCAGCAGTAACTGAAAGTTGTAAAGAAAATGCCGCCAAATTCTTTATTTGCATTGAAGATAAAATGACTTATATTAACGAATCTGTAAGTGTTTTATTATAATAATAATGGGTATATGGACTGTTTATTAATATCTTTTCTCTCTTTGTTATAATAATAAATTAATAGGATACTCAAGGTGCCAAAAGAGGTTTAACCTTATGTGAACAACAATTAAAAGATTATACAGATTGTATGGAAAAAGCATTAAAGAAGGGTGAAGGATTTGGTTTCTTGTAAAATAACTAATAAATAATATAAAATATATCAATAGACAATAAATATATATAATTTTTTTTTATAAAAAAATCGTTTTAAACTCTTTTTAAATAATCTTTATTAATAAAATAATTATGTGTGTTGTTTTTAATACAGATAATAGATAGTGTGGGTTCTAAATTATTTCTATTTAGTATAATGATTTTTTTTTTTTTATGATAATCATTTTATTTATAATTTATAATAAAATTGTAATTTAGTTTACCAAAATTAAATTATTTTAATTAATTAAAACGAAAAATATAAAGATAACATACAAAAAAAAAAAAAAAAGAATTTTTTTCAGAGAAAATTTTTAATTTAAAAAAAAAGGGTGTTTTTTAAAACTAATAATAGTAATATATTGGTGAAAAATTTAAATATAAATTTTTTTTTTTTTTCATTTCATTTTCATTTATTAAATCAAATCAAAATATAAATATATATACACATAAATAAAAAAATAATTTTATATATAAAACATTATTTTTTTTAAATTCATTTTTTCATATTATTAATAATAAATATTAATTTAAAAGTTTTTATTTAATTATTCAATACCCTTTTTTTTTTAAACACAAATAAAATATTCTATTAGTATTTATTAGTGTTATTGCAATCAATTATAATCAAATATAAAATATTTTATTATTATTAATACACCCACACAATCCATATTTTATATTTAACACAAAAATAAACCCACACACAAAATCTATAAATTAATTTTAAATATACAAATACTCATTGTGATTTTTATAAAAATTCCAATAAGTTTTAAACAACATTATTAAAATATCTATACCATTTTATATATTAGAGGTGTTTATTTTAATATTTTAATTATTAATTTTAAAAAAATAAAATTTTTTTTAAATTGTAAGTGTTATTTAAATTTTTTTATTATTTTATTATACCCAAATTTATTATTAAAACTAACTTTTATTTATTTTATTTATTTTCTATAATTTAATTTTCAATTTTTTAAATTTAAAAGAATAAGTCTTTTAAATTTTTATATATATATTTAAAAATATCAAGTTTAAGAAGAACTATAAGTAAAACTTTTAGTAGAAGAAGTATTCATTTAATAGACGAAATGAACTCAATTAAAGTTGTTGTTGTAGGTGATGGTGCAGTAGGTAAAACAAGTCTTTTAATATCATATACCACCAATGGTATACCTACAGATTATATTCCAACCGTATTCGATAATTATAGTGCATTATTAATGCACAATAAGAAGCCATATAATCTTTCATTATGGGATACAGCAGGTCAAGAAGAGTTTGATAGACTCCGTCATTTATCATATCCACATACAGATGTTTTCATTGTTTGCTATTCAACTATTAATCCATCAAGTTTCGAAAATATTTATGAAAAATGGTTTTCAGAAATAAACCATTTTTGTCCAGGTGTACCAATAGTTTTAGTTGCCACCCAAATGGATTTAAGAACCAATCAAATTATATTAGATAGATTAGCTGAAAGAAAATTAGTTCCAGTTACTACTGATCAAGGTTTAGAAATGGCCAGAAGAATAAAAGCAAGTGAATTTATAGAATGTAGTGCTCTTACTCAAAAAAATCTACACCAAGTTTTTGAAAAAGTAATTACAGTTTTTGAAACACCAAAACCTTCATTAAATAAAAAGAAGAAGCAAAGATGTAGTATAATGTAAAAAATAATAATAATATAATAAATCCTCCTTTTTGTAAATATATTAAAAAAAAAAAAATACCCAAAAATTTTATTCATTTGTTTTATTTACAAGTTTTTTAAATACTGTTTTCTATTTAAAAATATATTATTATTTTATTCGCTTCTATTTAAAAAGTTTTGTTTATTTATATCTGCAATTCTTTTTTTAATAAAATATTCTTTCTGTATTTTTTAAATAAAAAGGGGGTGTGTGTTAATATTAAATTGTGATACAATGAATGAAAATATGTGTTTTAAGATACTTACCCAACTCTTTAAACATGAATCTGAAAACTTATCATAAAACTCTTTACACTTTGACTCGTTATCATTATTTTTATCTAAACATTCAAAGTATTCGTCTCTTGATTTCCAACATTTTTCTCTTGATACATTTAAAACTGCATCTTCTTTGCCGGTGTAGTCTGGTGCTCTTTTTATGCTATAACTAGTTCTTTCTTCTTTAGTCATATCACCTAATGGTTTTTCATTATTTTGATTTTTGTTTTGATTAGTATTATTCGACATTTTATTTATATTATTTATTTAGTTGGAGGTTTGATTAAATATGATTAATCATTTGAAAAAAAAAAATTTTAAAGTTTTTATTTTTTTTTTTTAATTTTTTTTTTTATTTTTTTTTTTATTTTTTATTTTTTATTTTTTATTTTTTTTTGTTTTGTTTAATATTTTTTATTTTTTTTGAAAAAGAAATATTTCTTAAAAAAGTAAATGATTTCTTTTGAAATAACCTCATTTTGATAATAATTATCCAATTGTTATTAATTAAAGTAATTTAAAAACCTATTATTTATAAAAAATAAAATTTTATTATATTTTATTTAAAAACCCAAAAAATGTGCCAACTTCAAAAGAATCAAATGAAATTTTACAAAAACTATTATTCCAACAACAACAAAATACAGAATTTGAGAATTTAAAAAACCAACAGGATTTTGTGTGATTTTCTTTACAAATTTTAAAGAGTAGACAAACAATAATAATCATTTTTTAATTAATAAATAAAAAAATAATACTAAATTATATCATGATATAATAAAAAGGAAAACGGTAAAAAATAAACATATTATTTATAAAAAAAAAAATTTTATTATATTTTTTTTAAAAATTTAATGATGTTTCAGTATCCTAATACTGAAAATATTAAAATCATTTGATGTTCCAATATATTTGCCTGGCCAGGGAAAATGTATTTCCTCCATCAAATAGACTGAACTATGATTATAACATATTATATATTATTTTTTTTAATTTTTTTTAATTTTTTTACTAATGTTGTGAATGTTTGGTTCTATTATTATTATTTTTTTTTTTTTCATAAAATTATTAATTGATGATGAATGCTGATGATGGTGATGATGATTTATAATTATTTTAACTCTTTACTCGTTTATTTATTTATTTATAATTTTTTATTTTTTTTTTTAAAGTGAAGATTTTTAATCAGTAAAATTATTATTTTGTAATGTATTAATATAAATTTTAGAATTAAATCCAGATAGGTTAAGATTTATTAATACCGCGCAAGAGAACATTAACGGGATAATATATTTTGCATTTATGGTTTACCGTTATTAATTAGCTATTACCAAAAACACTTTTTATAGATATCTAAGAACCTAACAATGTTTGTGTTTTTTTTTAAAATTATAACCAATATATGGATATATATATTCCAAAAATGTCTGGTGAACACACATTTTTTTTTTATTTTTTTTTTTATTTTTTTTTATTTTTTTTTATTTTTTTTTTATTTTTTTTTTTTCTTTTGCTTTTTTTTTTTTTTAATTTAAAAAAAAATGAAATTAATTTCAATTTCATTTATTATTTTAATTTTTTCTTTAATATATAATTTTTATTTTATAAATAAAGATACAATGTGCAGAGGTAGCGATCATAAACATTTAGTAGATAAATCTGATAGATTAATTTTACCAGATAATGTCATCCCAAGCAAATATGACTTACATATCAAGCCAAATCTCAAAGATTTTGTTTTCGATGGCCAAGTTGATATTACCGTTAATATCGTCAAACCAACCAAAACCATCATCATCCATAGCATTGATATTGATATTAAATCAGCCAGTATTTTAAATCAAAAAGCCACCATCACCTATTACGAACCAGAAGAAGTTGCCATCTTAGAATTCCCAAATGAATTGAGTGTTACTGAAAACACAGTTCTTTCAATTGATTTCACTGGTATTTTAAATGACAAATTAAAAGGTTTCTATCGTTCAAAATACACTGTTGATGGTGAAGATCGTTACATTGGTACCACTCAATTCGAAGCTACTGATGCAAGACGTGCATTCCCATGCTTTGATGAACCAGCTCTTAAAGCCGTTTTCAATATCAAGATGACTGTTGAATCCCATTTAATCGCTTTATCAAATATGGACTCTACTTCAGTTGTAGACAATGCTGATAAAACCAAAACATTTACGTAAGTTATAGCTTTAACAAGACTTTTAAAATTAAATTTAATATTAATGCTTTTTTTTTTTTCTACCTAGCTTTGAAACTACTCCAAAAATGAGTACCTATATTCTTGCCTTTATTGTCGGTGAATTTGATCACATCGAATCAAAAACCAAAGAAGGTATCAGAGTTCGTGTTTACAAATGTCGTGGTAACAAAGAATCAAGTGAATTTGCTCTCAAGGTTGCTACTGATGCCCTTTCATATTTCATTGATTACTTTGGTATCCCATATCCATTAACAAAATGTGATCATATTGCCATTCCAGATTTCACCTGTATGTATTTTAATAAACCAATTTTAAAATTTTATTTATAAATACTAATAGTTTTCAAAATTTTATTTATTTTGTAGTTGGTGCTATGGAAAGTAAGATATTATTTTTAATATTTTCAAATAATTTATATTTATATTAATTTTTTTTTTTTAGATTGGGGTTTAATTACCTATCGTGAAAGTATTTTATTAACTTCTGATAAAACTACTCTTCGTACTAAACAAAGAATTGCCAATGTCATTGGTCATGAATTGGCTCATCAGGTAATTTAAATATATTTATATTTATATATAAAAAAAATATTTATTAATTTTTTTTTTAAAAGTGGTTTGGTAATTTAGTTACTATGGAATGGTGGTCACAATTATGGCTTAATGAAGGTTTTGCAACCTATATGGGTTACCTTGTTACTGATCATTTATTCCCAGAATGGAATGTTTGGCTCGATTTTTCTGAACTTTACAGAAATGGTGCTTTGAAATTAGATGCTCTTGACAACTCCCATCCAATTGAAGTCCCAGTTCGTAATTCATCACAAGTCAGTGAGATTTTTGATGCTATTAGTTATAATAAAGGTTCATGTGTAATTCAAATGTTAGAAAAACGTTTTGGTGAATCATTCAGAAAAGGTCTTAATCATTATTTAGGTAAACACTCCTATCAAAACACCAACACTGAAGATCTTTGGGACTCACTTACATTAGCCAGTGGTATAAATGTTAAAGAATTTGTTGACTCATTCACCAAATACTCTGGTTATCCAGTCGTTTCATTCAAACCAACTTCAACTCCAGGCACTTTCGAATTAACTCAAAAGAAATTCCGTTTAGAGGGTGAAGAAAAAGCTGACGATCCAATTTGGAATTGTTTCATTAAAGTCCAAACTGATAGTGGTACTCATGAAGTTATTTTTGACAAGAAATCCTCAACCTTTACCGTTCCAAACTTTAATCCAAATGGATGGATCAAACCAAACTATGGCCAAACTGGTTATTATAGAATTGCCTATACCCCAGAAATCATCAAAGGTTTAATTCCAATCGTTAAATCAATGGAATTACCAGCCACTGACCGTTTAGGTTTACTCTCTGATGTCTATTCATTATGTAAGACCAATACCATTCCAATCTCTACTTACATGGATTTAGTTATGGCTTTTGAAAATGAAAAAGAAAGCAATGTTTGGGACTTTATCATCGAAACATTAGGTCAAGTTTATTCATTATCAGATGATCAAGCTTACAGTGCCAAACTTGCTGAAGTTATAATCAAACTCTTAAAACCAGTAGCCAAGAGACTTGGCTTTGATCCAAAACAAGGTGAAAGTGCCAGCGACGTTTTACTTCGTGGTTCAGTTTGTGCTAGATTAGGTGTTTTAGGTGATGAAGAAACCGTTGCCGAATGTAGAAAGAGATTCGAACAATTCAAAACTGATCCAGCCTCATTACCATCTGATATTCGTAATTGTGTTTTAGCTACTATCGTTAGAAATGGTGGTGAATCTGAACAACAAGAACTCATTAATCAATACCTCAAAACAAATTTAGTAGCTGAAAAGAATTCAATCCTTATGGTTATTTCATTAGCTCCAAAACAAGAATTGGTTGAAAAAGCTTTAGAATTCTCACTCTCCAAAGAAGTTAGAACCCAAGATTGTTACATTATTTGGTTCACCTTACCAAATCGTTCACGTGTCATCGCTTGGGAATTTTTCACCAAAAACTTTAATAGAATTGACGAAATGTTCAAGAGTAGCTCACTTTATGGTCGTATGATCACTGGTGCCCTTTCAAATAAAATGGACGATAAGAAATATGCCGAAGTCGAAAAATTCTTTGCTGAACACCCAACTCCAATTTGTGAAAGAAATAACAAACAAAATTTAGAAAATATTCGTATTGATACCAAATTCTTTAATTCATTCAACAATGATTTATCAAATTGGTTACAAAACAAATAAAATAAATATATTTTATAATTAAAACTATAAAAAAAAAAAACCTTTTATTTTTATCTTTTTTTTTTATTGTTTTTTATTTAAATGTAACAATTCATTTTTTAAAGTTTGAGAATCTTTTACTGCAATTTCTAATTCATTTGTAATACGTTCGATTGAAATGGTCATATTTTTTAAAAAGTTATAAAGTGGTTCGATTGCTTCTGGTGTGATTTCATATTTAATTTTTTCTTTTTCCATTGAACCTAGTTTTAATTGATTGGAGATTTCATCCACTTTAGATTTAATTGAATTTGGTTGTTTTAATTCCTCGTAAATCTCTTGAATTCTTTTCATTAGTCTTTCTTCTGATACACCAAATGGTTTACCTTTACTTTGATAAATCTCTAAACTGGTCCATACTTCGGTATATTTTTGAATCAATTCTATTTGTTTCTTTCTTATCATTTCTAATTGTGAGTGAACATGAAAGTTTAATTGATTTTCTAAATCTCTCATCGATTTTAATGTTTCTTGGGTTCTTTGATCTAATTGTTTAATAATTTCTTGTTGTTGTTCTCTTCTTTGTTTTAAATCGTTAAATGATTTTGCTACAACCGGTATAAATCTATGTTTAAAAATAAAATAAAAGTTAATAACAAAGTAATTTTAAAAAAAAAGAGGTATGTTGAATTTACTTTGATGGATCTGGATTATTATCTAAAGCATTCTGCCAATCTGCTGCTGAAACATTAGGAGGTTTTGGGATTGTTTTTGGATCTACATTTGGGTTAAAATTATAAAACCAATACTAAACATCAAAATTATTAGTTTATTATAATCAAAGATACTAAAAATAATAAAGATATCTTACAATATATTTACATGTTGGGGAATCTGGTGAAACTGCTTGCATAAAATCATATAATCTTTGTTCGACCATATTTTTTTGTTGTTGTTGTTGTTGTTGTAATTGTAGCTGTTGTAATTGTAATTGCTGTAATTGTAACTGTTGTTGTTGTTGTTGCTGTTGTTGTTGTTGCTGTTGCAATGTATTTGTTGGTTGGCCAAATAATGATGTATTTTGTTGTGGTTGAGCAGTACTACCAAATAATGATGTCGATTGTTGTTGTTGTTGTGGTTGGCCAAATAAAGATGTTGATGCATTACCTAAACTATTTAGGCTTCCTGCTGAACCCAATGTATTTGCCGAACCCAAACTACCTAAACTTCCTTGCGAACCTAAACTACCTAGACTTCCTTGCGAGCCTAAACTACCACCAAATAATGAAGTTGATTGCTGTGGTTGTGTTGTGCCTCCAAACAATGAAGTTGATTGTGTATTTGAGCTAGTATTACCAAATAGTGATGTTGTTGGTTGTGTGGTTGCTCCTGTAGCACCAAATAAAGAGGTATTCGGTGCAGTTGCTCCCGTATTACCAAATAATGATGTATTTGGCTGTGTAGTTGCGCCAGTATTACCAAATAACGATGTGGATCCAGTGTTTCCAAACAACGACATTTTGATTATATATTAATATTTGATATTTTAATTAAAAAGTAGAGAAGATTAGTTTCCACTTATTTAAAAAAAAAATGAAAAAATGAAAAAAAAATTTTTAAAAATAAAAATTTTTTAAAATAAAACAAAAATTTAAAAAAAATTATTTTTTTTTTAAAAAAATGTTTTTTTTCGATTAACAACTATTTTAATTATTAATTAAGAACTTAAAAATAATTATCTTCAATTTGAATAAAAAAAAACAAAAATAGTTTAAACAATCATTTTTTGGATTGTTGAAAATTTTATAATAATATAAAAATAATAAATTTATTTATTATTATAAATTAATTAAACCACATTTTTTAACACACATTTAAACAAATACATACATACACAAACACATACACACATATACACACAAAAAAACAAACACACATAACAATATATTTAATTACCATATACTCATACACTATTTTTTTTTTATTAATAGATATTTTTGTTTATATGATTGTTTTTAAATATACTATAAGAAAGCCATGTGATCAACAATAACGGTGTGGGGTATTAAAATCCTATCAATAAAAATAATAATCAATTACTATTAAATATGATTACATATAATATTAATTTAGAATTATGACAACAAATAGTATATATAGTAATAATTATAATTATTTTGGCTATAGTGTTAAATGAAGCCAATTTAAAGATTCTTTTTTTTTTTTTTTTTTTTTGATTAAATGTGCTATATTATATTTATATAGTATTTTATTTTTAATTTTATTTTATAATAATAACAGACCTATAATCTTCAAATAACACATATTAATAATTATTGTTAACAAATTTATACTTTTATTTTATTTTTATTTTATTTTATTTTATTTTATTATATTATATTTTATTATATATTTAAAAAAAAAATAAAGAAAAAAAAAAAGTATTTAAATCATTTATTTTAACTATATAACTTTATTTTTAAATAAAATTAAATAAATCATTATAACAATAATAACAATAAAAAAATAATATTACGTTAATAAAAAATTTTATAATATAATTAGAAATGGAAGGTAATAGTAGCAGCGAAGCTGTCCAAGAACAACCACAACAACCACAACAACAAGTTCAAAATGGTCATAGTCATCATAAAACATTTACAACTAGAATCGGCAATGCAATTCTTTCATTAATATTTTTAGGACTTTCATTCTTTTTCATGGCCTATGGTATCGTCCAAATTTGTGTTGGTGCTGCTGCTCCATATGGTATCACATCAAGAAATGCCTGGGTATTTATCGTTAATGGTTTATTCTGTTTGGTAGTTGGTAGCCATGGTTTCTTCCTATTATTCCACAAGAGAAGTTCCGCATTCACCCATTGCATGTTAAACATTATTTTAATTGTTCAGGCATTTGTTTTATTCACAATTTACTCTGCCCTTCTTAACCGTAACATTCGTGAAATTTGTGGTGGTGAATTTTACAATAATCCATATTGTCATCATGATAGAGAAGTTTATTTAGGTATTGCATTGGCCATATTTTGGGTTATTAATATCACTGTCATTCCATTTTCCTTAATTTGCTCAATCATTCATTTAAGAAGTGTCAATCGTAATAAAAATCAAGAATCAATTGAAAATAATAATGCTTAAATAAAAATAATAAAATAAATCTAAAAAATTAACAATAAACTGTTTATTATAATTAATATTATTTGAATATTAAAAATAATTATTCAAACAAAAAATAAAAAAAAAAAAAAAAAAAAAAAAAAAAACTTTTAGATTTTTATACCTGTTGAAAAATTGCCAAAACCAATTTCAATAAATACGTTTTTTTTTTTTTTTGTTTTAACTTAAGGTTACAATTTTAATTTAAGGTTACAATGACAACAATGATTCTTATAAAAAACAAAATCAATTTCATACTATCCACTCCGCCATAATCCAAATTAAAAAAAAAAAAAAAAAAAAAAAAAAAAAAAAAAAAAAAAAAAAAAATGTGGTGATTTTAAACACATGTCAATAATTTGAAAAAAAAAATAATTTTGGTTTTGGTTATGAAATTTCATAATCAAATAATATTTCTATTGTTATATTTTATAATAATGAAAATATTTTTAAAATGATTTTAATTTTATTTTAAAAATATTTATTTTATTATCACTTTTTAAAAAATAAAGTGATTCTTATTGTTTGAGGAGAATTGATGGATGTGCATGCCATTCTCTTTTAAAATGAAAAAAAATTATGTGAAAAAAAAATATTTTAAAATTGATTTTTACATTCCCATTATTTATTTTATTTTTTAATTTTTTTAACTGTCATTTTAGTTTTTTTTTTATTTTTCTAAAAATTAATTTGTGGAGTGGATGGTGTGAAAGTTAGTTAAATTTAATTATTTGAATTATAGTGATTCTTTTTTTGGGTTTTCAGCTGTATATATTTTATTATTATTTTTATTTTTTTATTATTTTTAATTTTTTTTTATGTGGGTGAAAAAACACACAATTTATAAAAAAAAAATTTTTATTTTTTTATTTATTTTTTTTAATCATTTATATTAAAAAGGTATATATTTTTTAATCTTATACGAGTCGAAAATATAAAAAAAAAAAAAAAAAAAAAAAAAATTGTTTCATAATAATCCAATTTTAACAATAATACAAAAAAACAATTATATTATTATTTAATTTTTTTTAATAAATTTATTTTATTTTTATTTATTTTTATCATTTATTTAACTACACATTCATTTAATTTTATTTAATTTTAATTTTTTTTTTTTTATTATTTATTTTTTTTAAAATTTTTTCATATTTATATTTAATTATAAAATATTTTTTAATCATTTATTAATTTTCATTTTTATCATTCTTTAAATATTTTCTCTTATTACTAATAGTATATATATATAACATAAAATGGGTGCTTGCGGTACTATCCTTTTACTTATCCTTTGTTTCATTTTATCACCACTTGGTAAGTTTAAATTAATTTAAAAAATTAAATCTTTTAAAAAATTACTAATTTTTATTTTTTAAATCCATTATTCTAGCTGTTTTAATCAAGAAAGGTTGTTCATCAGCATTCTGGCTCAACGTTATTCTTTTCATTCTTGGTATTATTCCGGGTATTATCCACGGTATGTATTATAATTTATATTTATCATATAAAAAAAAACCATTTTTGCTAATTTAATTATTTTTTATAACAGGTATTTTTGTCGTTCTCTCATAGATCAAATAGTTTTAAAATTTATATAAAATACTCAAATTGTATCAAATTCATATTTATAAATTGTAACCATATATTCATCACAGCCAACTAATGAAATAAATAAAAAATACATTTATTTTAGAAAAAAAAAAAAAAAAAAAAAAGTAGTCTTTTATTTAATAACACATTTTATTTTTATTTGTTTTAATGTTGTTTTGGTTTTGGTATATAAACACTATTTTGAAGACCTCTAAGCTTTCTAAGGATTTCTACTTTTGAATTTAAAATATAATAGATGATAGATGCAACAAAATATAATTTAACAAAGTTTGATCTAATTAAAAGATGGGTTGCTGGAATAATTAAATAGTAAAACCATGCTAAAGCTGTTAATAAAAATGATGGTTCTAAAATAAAAAATAATAAAAAATATTAATAAATTAATGGTAATTGATAATAATGATAAATAATAATAATAATTACCGAATTTTGTTTTAGTGTATGGCATTGAATATTGTCCATTTTCCTTTAAATCTTGTAACATTTTATCTTTTTCGGCATAGATTTTGAATAACCATTTTTGAAGATCATCTTCATTAGATGGTACTTCATTGAGGGAATAACGTTTAAAGTGCATGTTAACAACCTTTGGATTTGAACCAGAGACACAGGATAAAATAGTTGGCTTGCTTTCATAACCAATGGTGACATCGTATACACTATCAATGGTATTTCTTAATGGTTCAACACATGCATGTAAACCTTTATGTCTTGGTAAAAGGACATTATTGAATTTTGGATAACCATTCTTTTCAGCGAATGCATGACTCTTCTTTAACTTTTCTTCATCAATATCAGTTCCTTCTGGGAAAATTACTAACCATGGTTTAAAATCATTTTCGATATATTTATTTAATTTGTATTCCATATGCTTTTCATCAAAATTCCAATCTCTTGAGAGGTAAATATAATCTAAATTATCACATCCCCATCCAACACCTGGAACTAATCTAACTTCCTAAATTAATTGGAAAATAGTTAGAAAATTATTATTCGCTATATATTATAATAATAATAATTATAATTACATTTTTTAATATAACTTTAATTTTTGATAAAGCTTTCTTTCTATAAGCAACTGAAAATGAGAATAACCAATCTACTTCTGATGGATGATTCATCATCATAATCATTGATTCACCTTCTGGAATATCATCACCATAAAATCTAATTTCAATATTGTTTACAACTTCAAAAACAAATAATACTAATCTAAACCTATATTATGTATGTAGATTATATTAGTATTAAAATTTATATTATTTTTTTGAAAATATATTTATTTTAATGATTTTACCAAATTGATGCTATTTTATAGTGGAGTGTAAATGCTAATTTTTTAAAAAATGGTTCGATAATGATGACTGGGATCATTAAAAATATAGCTGCATATAGTGATGATATTAATAAACCTGCGATTGAAACGAAACGACGAAGTAATACCTTAGGTTCCATTTCTTTCTCTGTTTTATTGTTTTATATATTGTAACTTTCGTCTGTTTGGTTATAAAAAATAAAAAAATAAAAAATATAGAAAAAAAAAAAAAAAACAAAAAATTAAAAAAAAATTTAAAAATTTTATTAAAAAAAAAATAAAAAAAATAAATTTTAATTAAAAAAAAAAGATCTCAAAAAAAAAATGGTGTAAATATATTGTTTAGTTATTATATAAAACCATTCGTAATTAGTATTTATTTTATAAATATATTATCAAATAAAATAAAATAATATCACTGAAATTATCTTGGATGAAAAGGTCAAGTGAGCTTATAATTAATTGGGGTGATAAAATTGTGGCATTTTAATTCCATTGTTTTTTGAAAAAAAAACCAGTTGACAATATTAAACCCTAACTAATAGTGATGGGGTCCGATTGATTTTCTGTATTTTGAATCTACTTCATTACAATTGCTGAAATAGCAACATTGTCTATTCAATTGATGCCACCTAAGATGCCATAATAAATTGTTTTACTTTCCATGAACGTTGAATTGATTCGTTGTGTAAATTAACTGTACCAATTGTTTTTAGACAATGCGTAATATTTAAACTATTCATATGGACATCTTGAGGATCTCCAATATCATTTACAAATGCAAAGTATCTATATTTGCAATATTTGAATTTCCTTATTATTTTCAATATCGATTTGATTAAAGTGGAGTTTAATTATACTATCTTTTTGATTTTTGGTTTGATTAATAGTTCTAATTCCTATTTTAATAAATACTATATCTGATTAATAAGCCTCAAGAAATAAATAAATATTCAACTATAATTTTCTATTAAATAAAATGATTACTATGATTTACTAATTATGAAAAAAAAAAAAAAAAATAACACTTATGGTTGTTGTTTGGGTTGTTGTGTAAAAAATAATCATAATAAAAAATAAATTTGGTATTATTATTTAATCAACAATAAATTCCTTTTGTTAAGCTAAACACTTTTAGTAACTAAAAACTTTTGAAATAAAATAATAAATGAAAAATCTCTATAAAAACTATATTTTTTTTAATACATTTCTTTTATTTAAAAATTACCCATAAATGTTTTTTTTTTTTTTTTTTTTAAAAAATTTGATTTGTTTTGATTTATAATAAATATCCAATTTAAGGCAATTATATTTATATTATTAGTTAATTATTGTTGTTTATATAAAAAAAGATTTTTAAATAAATTATTTCTTTAATAATCTTTCTAATTGTTGAATTTCAGATTCGAAGTTTTGTTCGTATTGTTGTCTTAATTGTTCTAAATGAGCAGTTGAAACACCATATTCCTTTAATTTGGCGATTTTAGCGTTGTAGGCTTCATCAACAAGACGTTTGACACGATCACGGAGAGCTTCTTCTTTAACTTCAGCACCAGTAGAGGTGGTAGTTTTCTTGGCACCTGAATCAGTGTTTGATTGTTCCATAAGTTTAACAGCTTTAGCTTCGACATCTTCAATACCACCAACCATGTAGAAAGCAGCTTCTGGTAAGTGATCGTATTTACCTTCTAAAATACCTTTGAAAGCTTTAATTGAATCTTCGAGTTTGACGTATTTACCTTCCATATTGGTGAAAGCTTGGGCGACTTCGAATGGTTGTGAAAGGAAACGTTGGATCTTACGAGCTCTGAATACAGTAGCTTTTTGGTCTTCTGATAAATCATCCATACCTAAAATGGCAATAATATCTTGAAGTGATTTATATTCTTGAAGAATCTTTTGGACATCAGTAGCAACGGTATAATGTTCAGCACCAATAATATTTGGATCCATCATTAAAGAAGTTGAATCGAGTGGATCGACACATGGATAAATACCTGTTTGTTATTTAAATAAATATATTAGTAAACATATCTCTGCATATTATATAAATTTCTCCATTTATCATTTTCCTATTTTTATCTATATTATCTGCCTATTATATACATACCTAATTCAGAAATAGCACGAGAAAGTACAGTAGTAGCATCAAGATGGGCAAATGTAGTGGCTGGGGCTGGATCAGTTAAATCATCAGCTGGTACGTATACAGCTTGTACGGAGGTAATTGAACCTTTTTTGGTGGTAGCAATACGTTCTTGCATAGAACCCATATCAGTGGCTAAGGTTGGTTGATAACCTACAGCGGATGGAATACGACCAAGAAGGGCAGACATTTCAGAACCAGCTTGGGTGAAACGGAAAATGTTATCAATGAATAAAAGTACATCTTGACCATCAACATCTCTGAAGTATTCAGCGACGGTTAAACCAGTTAAGGTGACACGAGCTCTAGCACCTGGTGGTTCATTCATTTGACCGAAAACGAGGGCTACTTTTGAACCTGGACCATCAGTTTTAATGACACCAGCGCTAACCATTTCGTGGTATAAATCGTTACCTTCACGAGTACGTTCACCAACACCAGCGAATACAGAGAAACCACCATGAGCTTTAGCAATATTGTTAATAAGTTCTTGAATTAATACAGTTTTACCGACACCAGCACCACCAAAGAGACCAATTTTACCACCTCTAGCGTATGGAGCTAATAAATCAATAACTTTAATACCAGTTTCTAAAATGGAAGCAGATGGGGCTAATTCAGAGAAATGTGGTGGTGATCTCCAAATTGGACGTCTTTCGGTGGCGTTGATTGGACCACAACCATCGATTGGTTCACCAATAACGTTCATAATACGACCAAGGGTAACATTACCGACTGGAACCATAAGTGGGGCACCTGAATTTAAGACTTTAGCACCACGACCTAAACCATCAGTAATATCAAGAGCGACACAACGAACAATACCATCACCAAGATGTTGAGCAACTTCTAAGACTAATTTAATTTTTGAAATTGGAACATTGTTGAAATCGAGTTTACCTTTTAATGCTGGGTTATTGAGATCTTCAATTACTTTTTCGACATTTTCAGCTTGGAAATCTTCGACAATTAAAGCATCATTAATGTATGGTAATTTACCGTGTGGGAAGTAAACATCAACGACGGCACCAATAACTTGATGGACAATACCTTGATTTTCGTCTAATTGTTCATATGAAATTTCACCTGATTCAGTTGAAGCTTCTTTATCTAATTCAGCTTTGAAATTATTTAAGTATTCTTTTTCAGCGTTGGTGGCTGGGGCAGCTGAATAATTTCTTGAGGTAGTTTTGAAACCTAAAAAAAAAAATTATTATTATTATTAGAATATTTTTGATTTTAATTTCTTTTTTGCTAAATTTTAATTGAACCAAACTATGACTTTAATTTAAATTTAACCAAATATAACTTTAATTTAAATTTTCAACCAATCATGATCGTCATCGTCATTTTTATTGTTATTTTATGTTTTTGAACTTTACCTCTAACTGGGACAGCAGTAGATGGAGCTGAGGCTCTGACAGCATTTCTGCTGATTTGATTAATATTTTTTGATAATCTTCTAGCAACAAACATTTTTCTAAAAAGATTAATAAAAATTATTTATTAGCAACAAATAATGGATTAAAATTTTAAAAAAAAAAATTTTGAAAAAAAATTTTGAAATTTTTGAAAAAAAAAAAAAAATAAAAAAACAAAAAAATTTTAAAATTTTTAAGGCAAAAACTGAATTACGTGTTTATTTAATTGATTATTTATTTATTTATATTATTTATTTAATTTATTATTAAATATGATACAATTATGAAAAAAAAAAAATAATGATGATTATTATTTTTTTTTTTTTTTTAATTTTCGTGTTTATGATTTTTTTTTTTTTTTGATTTTGTGTGATTGTGATTGTGTTTAGTTTTTATTAATTTTATAATGATTATTATTATTATTAATATTATTATTATTATTATTATTATTATAAATGTTTAAATTTAAACAAAATTATTTGTATTGTTTTTTTTTTTTAGTTTCAGTTTGTTTTTGATTTTAGTTTGGTTGTTTATTAATATTATTATTATTATTATTATTGTTATTAATTTTAATTATTAAAAGAAACAATATAAAAATATAAAATTAAAGAATTTGAAGACACAAATAAAATTTTATTTACATGTTTGATAATTTATACATACAAAATGTTCTATAACAACAATGACTAATGAAAAAAAAAAAAAAAAAATTTAAAAAAATAAAAAAAAAAAAAATAAAAAAATTTATATTTGAAAAAAAATTTTAATTTTTTTTTTTTTTTTTTTTATGATTGGGTTGAACTACGGGAAATTTTTTATATGCGGGAATGATAATGATAATCACGCCATTTAATAAATTTTCCCATTTTTTTTTTTTTTTAATTTATGAAAATATCCTTTTTGAAATTCATTTTTTTTTTGATTAAAACTGGTTGAAATTATTATGATTAATAAAAAAAATAAAAAAAAAATAATAAAAAAAAAATAAAAAAATAAAAAAATAATAAAAAAATAAAAAAATGATAAAAAAAAAAAAACAAACAAAACAAAAAGAAAAAAAAAAAAGATTTGTGATGTAATAATGTTTTAGTAGATTTATATTTATTGTTTAATGAATGAAATAAAGCAAATATGATAGTTAAATTAAATTTATTTTTTGTGTTTTTTTTTATCATGGTGCTAATTAGTGTAATTATTTATTATTTATGATTTTATAGTTGTTTGTAGCATTGCCAATATTACAAATTATATAGTTATCGATATAGTTTTAATAATTTGGTTTTTTCATTTTATATATAGCCTAAAGTTAAACTTTATTATTGATAATCAAATAACCATTTTTTTTTTTTTTTTTTTTTTTTTTTTTTTTTTTGCAAAAGAATTGTTTTTTGTGGAAAAATTATTTATGATTTTTTTTTTTCATTTCATTTTTTGAGTTTTTTTTTTGAACAATTTGATTCTATAATTTAATTATCTGTTTAAAATATATTATTTGTTTTTTTTTTGTTAAGTTTTTTTTTTTTTTTTAAATCGTGCAAATAAATATTGTTAAAAAAATGTTTAAAAATTTTTTTATTTGAAATCCCCCCATTTAATTCGAAAGGGGTATATAAAATATTACATATTAAAAATATTCACCCCTATCATTTTTTATTCATTTTTTGCTCTATAGTGTATATAAATATGTACATAATTATTAAACTACAATTTACCACCATTCAATCATGTATTTTTTAACATATATAAGGTAAAATATTATTAAAAAAAAAATAATTATTAATTATGTATATTATATCAATAGTACTACCGTAATTATTCATGGGGAAATCATTATAATAATAATAATATTATTAATTAAATAATTAATTTTTTTTTTTAGAAAATTAATTTTAAAATTAAAATTCAGGTACTAATTTTTTTTTTTTTCTAATTTCTTTATCATATTATTTTCCATTTTGTAACAAAATGATAAAAATTAAAAAGTTATTATTAATATTATTTTTAACATTTATAATTATAAATATTGTGTCATGTAGTCATAATAATAAAAATAAAAAGAATCAAATTCCAAAAGAAGAAATTGAAGAAATCCCTCAAGGTGAAGAGTTAAGACCAATCCAAGATGAAGTAGAAAATAAAATTATCAATGAAAGATTAGATAATGATAATGTTGGTAACAATAATGAAAGAAAATTAAATAAGAAAAAAAAAAATAAAAAAAATAAAAAACATTCAAATAATGAAGACGAAGAGTATGAAAAAGAACTCGAAGAAAGATTAGAGCAATTGGAGCAGCAAGAACAACAACTAGAAAAACAATATCAACAACAACAACAACAAAAAGGAAAAGAAAAGAAATACCAAAAGCAACCAAGACAATTTAATTCCAAACAGTATAAAAGTAGAAAATATGTTGAACATAATTCAAGAATAATCGTAAATGAAAAAGTCTGGAAAGTTATGCAAATTGAAAATTCAGTTGAGGCTAAAATTGAATTAACATTTGGTATTAGACAAAGAAATCTTGATGAGTTGGAAGAGTTTGTATGGCAAGTTAGTAATCCAGATCATCCAAATTATGGTAGTTACAAGAGTTTTTCAGAAATTAAAGAAATGGTAAAACCACTAGAGGAATCAATTCCTAAGGTTAAAGATTGGCTTTCCGAAAATGATATTTTGGATTCATATATTACAGAAAGTGGTGATTTTGTTAGAGTTACAACTAGTGTCAGAAAAGCAGAACAGTTATTAAGTGTCCGTTACAATAAATTGGTCCACAAAGAATCAAAAAAGTCTTTCTACCGTTCATTGGATCCATATAGTGTCCCAAGTGATTTGTTAGAGCATATCGATTTCATTGGTGGTGTAAATCATTTACCAATTCTTTCATCAAAATCAGCTCAACAAAGCGAATTATTAAAATCAAATAAGGTTCCATTAAATTATAACTTTGACAAGCAAGGAAAATCATCAAAAGATAGGGATCCACTATTATCACCAGCTCTTATTAGAAAAGAAATGAATGTTAGTCAAGTTTCCACCAACTCTACTCATTTGGGTAACTCTCAAGCCATTGCTCAATTCTTAAAAGAATATTTTAGTCCAGCTGATTTGAAGAATTTCCAATCTCGTTTTAGTTTACCAGACCAAGAGGTCGTTAATGTTGTAGGCCCAAATGAAAGGCTATCCCCTGGTCTTGAAACTGCTTTGGATATTCAATATATTATGGCTATGGCACCAAATGTTCCAACATGGATTGTTAGTACTGGTGGTCTACATGAAGGCCAGGAGCCATTTTTGGATTGGTTAGTAGATCTTTCGTCCAATAAAAATCTTCCTTTGGTTCACAGTATCTCATATGGTGATGAAGAAGCTTCTATTCAAAAAGCATATACAGACCGTGTTGATACAGAGTTTAAAAAATATGCCGCAATGGGTAGAACTATAGTTTTCTCAAGTGGTGATTTTGGTGCCGGATGTAATTTGGAGTGCGATAAATTTGCTCCAGGTTGGCCCGCTTCTTCAAGATTTGTATTAGCAGTTGGTGGTGTTATTAAGAAATCAGATGGCTCAATTATCGGTGATAGTATTTCAGGTGGTGGTTTTTCAAATTATTTCGAAAGACCAACCTATCAAGATTCAGAGTGTTCAGATTATATTGAATCTTTAAATGGTTCACTTTCAGAATACTATAGCCAAGCAGGTAGAGGTTATCCAGATATATCATCTTCTCAGAAAATGTTGTTATTCTTTATAAGAATCGTTTATTACCAATTGGTGGTACCTCTGCCTCAGCTCCAATCATTGCAGGGTTATTATCTTTAATTAATGATCAAAGACTACAAAACAATAAACCATCAATTGGTTTGTTCAATCCATTATTATATAAAATTGCAAGAGAATTCCCAAATTCATTTTTAGGTAAATTTAAATAATATTATTTCAGTGTATTCATTTTATTAATTTTTTTTTTTCATAAATATAGATATAGATTATGGTGAAAATAGTTATAAATGCTGTGCTAATGGCTTCAAAGCAACAAAAGGATGGGACCCAGTAACTGGTTTGGGTGTTCCAAATTTTGACGAATTAATTAAACATTGTGTTTAATTTTTAAAAAAAAAAAAAAAACTACAACACAACAAATAATTTTTTCAACAAATCACAATCTTTTATTATTTTAAAAATAAAACAAAACTAAATAAAACAAAATAAAATTTTTTATAAAAATAGATATTCTTTTATATTTTTGTCATATGAAATATTTAAATTTTTATATATATTAAATTTCTTTTTAAGAAATAAAATATTTTGGTTTTTAAAAAGGTAAAAAATGGTAAGTTGGGCTTTTCCAGTGGTTTTCAAAATAATGGAACCAATAAAAAAATGATTATTAAATTTTTAAAATAAAATAAAAAAAAAAAAGAAAAAAAAAATATTTTTTTTTTTTTTTTTTTTTGATTTTTTTTTTTTTAAAGTTTTTATTTTTTTTTTTTAAATTTTTTATTTTATTTTTTTCATATCATAATACATATTAACCGATAGTCATACTACTTCAAAGGTATTATTATAGTAGTGTGTATAGAAAAAAAATATATATTAATAAATAATAATTAAATATAAAAAAAATTTATTTATTTAGTTTTTTTTTTTTATATTATTTTAATATATACACACTCTAAATAAAATTAATATAAATTCCTATTTTCATATTTTAAATAGAGATATAAGTGAAGGTAGATATTGGATAAAATTTATTTATTTTTAAATCTTTTTTTTTTTTTTGTTAGTTTAAAGTGTGTGTGTGTTTAGATAGGGATTATTTTATAAAAGGTGGAACCACAACATATAAAACATCCATTTTGTTTTTTTTATTTTTTTTTTTTTTGTTTTTTTTTTATTTTTTGTTTTTTTTGTTACATTTGACATATTAATTAAATATTATGTGCACAAACGTTAAAGTTTTTTTTTCACAAAAATAAATAACAAATAAATTTATAAAATAAAATAAATAAAAAAAAATAAAAGTAATCATATAAAATTTTTTTAAATAAACTACAAATAAACATTAAATTAATTTTTTATCATTCACCATTAAATTAATTAAATATTTTATTTTATTTTTTTTTAACTTTTTTTATTTTTTATCTTTTTTTATCTTTTTTTATCTTTTTTTATCTTTTTTTTTTTTTTAAAATTTTAAATAAGTTATTAACACAAACTAAACATTTTTAATAATAATAATAATATTATTTAGGAAAAAAATGGAAATGGTTTTAGAATATGTTGATTTAATCGAATCATTAATTATCGATAATTTGGGCGCAATTATTATTGTTGTTGTTATTGTTGGTACATATTTATATATGAATAAACCTCCACCACCACCACCAATTCCACAAAACAAAAAAGCACCAATCAAACCACAAAGAACAGAATCGAATAAAGGTGGCAAGAAGGAAAATAAAGAGAAAGAAAAGGTAATGAAAATCTTTTTTGGTACACAAACTAGAACTGCAGAAGATTTTTCACGTATTATCGAAAAGGAAAGTAAAAAGATTGGTATCCCATGTGAAGTTGTTGATTTAGAATCATATGATGTAGAAGATTTAGCTAATGAATGGTTTGTTATGTTCCTCGTTTCAACTCATGGTGAAGGTGATCCAACAGATAATGCCAAAGAGTTTTATTTATGGTTAACTAATGATGAACGTCCAACCGATCTTTTAACTGGTGTACCATTCACTGTTTTTGGTTTAGGTAATAAAACATATGAGCATTATAATGCCGTTGCAAGAGTTATCGATAGAAGAATGGAAGAACTAGGCGCTAAAAGAGCTTTTGAAAGAGGTGAAGGTGATGATGATGCTACTCTCGAAGAAGATTTCAATCACTGGAAAAAGAGAATGTGGCCAGTTATTTGTCCATTCCTTGGTTATGAATTAAAAGCCACAGATGAAGATAAATTTGTACCACGTTTCAGAATGGTCACTTTAGATTCTGAAAATAAAGATATCACTAATCCATTCCTTAAAGTAGTTCCAACTATTTCAAAACCAAAAACTTCAGTTGATGGAAAAACGTATGTATATATATAATAAATAAATAATTATAATAATAACACAAATTAAATAATTTATTAATTATAAAATTTTTTTCTTTAAACTATTATAGTATTTATGATATTAAAAATCCATATTATGCAACTATTACAGAAAATAGAGAATTACATTCAAGTGAATCAGATAGATCATGTAGACATATTGAATTTGCATTAGGAGGTGCAGTTACTTATCAAACTGGTGATCATTTAGGAATTTACCCAATTAATGATGGTGAATTAGTCGAAAAACTTATTCAACGTTTAGGTGTTAATGGTGAAGAAATAATTTCATTAATTCCAGCAGATCAAGAAGGTAATATTATTAAAGCATCATTTGGCCCAATGTCAATTAGAAAGGCTTTATCAGAACATTTCGATATTACAAATCCACCAAGAAAATCAGTTTTACGTACCCTCTCTGAATACACCACCGACGAACAAGAAAAGAAGAAATTATTACGTTTAGCCTCAGAAGAAGCATCAGAAGAATATAATCAATTCATTAAACATGACTTCCGTAGTATTGGTGAATTATTGGACAATTTCCCAAATCTTAAACCAAATATTGCACACTTTTTAGAATTCATCCCTCGTTTACCAGCTCGTTATTACTCTATCTCTTCATCACCAAATCACAAGAAAGATACAGTTTCTATTACTTCAGTTGTTGTTAATTTCACTACACCAACTAGTCGTTTCCATAATGGTGTCGCCTCTACTTGGTTATCAAACTTAAAAGTTGGCGATAAAGTTCCATTATTCGTTAGAGAAAGTCATTTCCGTTTACCATCCAATACTAATAAACCAGTCATTATGGTTGGTCCAGGTACCGGTTTAGCACCATTTAGAGGTTTCCTTCAAGAGATGCAACACAAGAGTGTTAATTCTTCCGAATCTCTTTTATTCTTTGGTTGCCGTTCTGATACTATCGATTATCTCTACAAAGAAGAATTGGAACAATACAAGAGTACTGGTGTTATTGGCGATCTCATTGTAGCTTTTTCAAGAAAAACAAACGAAAAAGTTTACGTTCAAAATAAAATCATGGAACATAAACATAAAGTTTGGGATCTCATTCATAATAAGGGCGCTCACTTTTATATTTGTGGTGATGCTAGAAATATGGCCAAATCAGTTCAACAATCTTTAGTTTCTTTAATTAAAGAATTAGGTTCAAAAGATGACAACTCTGCTCAACAATATATTGAGGATATGGTAAATCAATCTCGTTATTTATCAGATACCTGGTTTTAAAATAAAAAATTTTAAAAAAAAATAAAATAAAAAAAATAAAAAAAATAAATAAATAAAATGGTATTTATACTTTTTTATTATATTTGCGATATTATATATTTAGTTTTATTTTTTAATAATTAATATATTTATTATATTTAATTTTAGTACTATAAAAAAATAATAGTGCAGTATTTTTAAATACAAATAATTGATTATAGGGTACCAAGTAATATTTTTTAATAAGTGGGTGTTTAATTAAAACAAAATTTCTAAAAGTGTTAATATGCACCACCTTTATAAAAAAACAATGGTTTATATAGGCAAATCTCCTATAAATATTTATAAAATATTATGATAAATAAAAAAATATTCAAGTATTGAGGCAATTCTTTTTATTTAAAGTTTTTTTTTTTTTTTTTTTTAAATTGATTAATTGGTTTCAATTCCTAAAAAAAGAGTTTTTTATTACAGGTTGTAGCAATGGTAAAAAAATTTAAAGATTTACAAAAAAGATTTATTAATAAATTTTTAAATAGGATATGGTTTAATTTTAACAGAACTTTTTCTTCAAAAAGGTTAATTGTTGCATCCACTAGTAGAAATAATGAAAATTATTAACAAAAGAAAATTTTTTACCATTACAAGTTGAGATAAATTGTGAAGAATCTATTAAAAATGCAATGGATCAAACTATTTCAAAATTTGGTCATATTGATATTTTAATAAATAATAGTGGATATTGTTTAAATAGCTCATTATTATGTATATTATTTGTTTTTTTAAAAATCTATTTATTTTAAAATTAAATATTAATAGGAAGAATTAACCAATAAAGAAATTAAAGATATTTATGATTGTAATGTTTTTGGGTTAATGTTATAAGTCAAGTTTTACTTCTTTTGATCAAAACCACAATACATCAGGGTAGGTTTTTGTTGGGATATTTTAAATTTTGCCCAAAACTAATTTATCTTTTTTTCATTAGGAATCTGTAAAAAAAATTATAAATATATCCTCAATTGTTGGATTTTATAGTAGACAATGTGGATTTTCAATTTATTCATCCACAAAATTTGCAGTAGAGGCTATTACTGAAGGTTTACAAGAGGATGTTATTCATGTTTCTTCTATTTTACCAGGTTATTTTTAAACAAAGTTTTTTGATCCAGTTTCATTATATATACTAAAAAATCCAATTAATGAATAAACTAAAGTTAGAGGTATGATAGAGTATCACCAAAAGGAAATGCATAGAAATCAATTGGGTTGTCCAACAAATGGTTCAGAAACTATCATTGGATATGCTTTATCAAAATACCCAACTCATCATCTTTTCTTAGGAAGTGATAGATTACAATTCAGTTGTAACTATCAAAGTTAAAAGAAAGTCAAAATGACATTAGAGTCAATTATGATGTTTCTATTTCAACAGATGACAAAAAAAAAATATTTAAAATAAAAATAAAAATTTCTTTTTCATTATCTATGGTTTTTTATTTAAATTATAATCTTTCTGTTTATAGTTAAAAATTCTAAAACCCTTTAAATTTAATAATTATTTTCTGATAATGAGCTTTAATTAATTAATTAATTTATTTTAATTAATTCATCCAGAATATATTTTAGACGAACAATTTTTTAAAGCTTTACCTGTTTAAATATCTCCAGTAATTAAAAAAAAATTTAAACAAAGTAAAGTCTTTTTATAATACTGTGTAAAACCATATTAAGCGGAGATTATGAATTTAAAGATAAATTTTTAATATAATAAAAACAACAAATAGGATTAAAAACTATTTTTATAAAAAAAAAAAAATATATAAATAGTAAATAGTAAAAGAAAATTTATCAAAAGAAAATTAAATATTTTATCAATTCAAAAGATATGGACCAAGCATTTGATTCTAAATTAACCTTTATAGGTTCAAAGGTAATTATTAAATTTTTATATTTATTATTTTTTTATATTTTTATATTTATTTTATAAACTATAATTTTTTATAAAATAGGCTGAAAATATAAAATTAATTAAAGAATTAGTTGATAATGCTATTAATTGTGCTTCAAACTCCAGAATTAAAATGAATAATGAAGATGATCCAATTTTTGATGAAAATTATATCGAAAGTGAAAGCTATAAAAATTCCAAAGAATTAATAGTTGAAAAAACAAATCAATTATTAGAGTTTTTAAAAAATTCAATTTTATACTCTTCTCCAAGAGTTCAATCTTTTATGTATGTATTCAATTTAAATTTTTAAAAAAAAATTAAAAAAACTAATTTTTATTTTTAGGATTGGTGATACTACTATTGGTAGTATAGTTGGTAATGTTGCATCATTATTTTATAATGGTACAAATGTTACATATCTTATATCAAATACAATGATTCCGTTAGAATTTATCATTGTAAATGATATGTGCAGAATGATTGGTTTTGAATATAAGAACCCAAAAAATATTTACTTTGAAGATATGGGTGAAGCACAACAAAGAGTTATACAAGAAAAAGAAACCATTGAGGGTTCTATACAACCATTTGGCCATTTGACTAGTGGTGGTTCACTTGCAAACATTGAAGCTTTATGGTGTAGTTATTGGGTTAAATTTATTCCTCTATGTATTAAAGATGCATTACAAGTTGAAGGGGATTTAAAAGATGCAAAAGATTTATTAAAAATTAAAGAAAAATATATTTATTCAAATGATTTTATGGAATGTATTGAATATAAAGGTGATGAAAATAATGAAATTAAATTAATATCTTTATCAAACTGGGATTTGTTAAATTTAAACTCTGATGAAGCTGTAAGATTACCATTTTTAGTAGCTAAATATTGTAATTTAAGTGTTCATCAAGTATACCCAATTATTAAAAAATACCACCCATATTCAGTGGGAGTTTTTAATTATTTTACATCACACAAAATCAATTTACCTATATATATTATACCTGAATCAAGTCATTATAGTTTGGGTAAAGCTGCATGCTTATTAGGTTTAGGTTATGAAACTGGTGTTAAAGAAATTGTTTTAGACAAAAATCGTCGTATGAATATAGATAATGTCGAAAAAACTTTAAATGAATGTTGGATAAATAGAACACCAGTTATTAATATAACTTGCATTTGTGGTAGTACTCAAGAAGGTGCTGTGGATCATATGGATTTGATTTTGAACCTTAAAGAGCAATATAGAAATGAAAAAAAATTAAGCTTTGATATTCATGTTGATGGAGCTTTTGGCGCATTCTTTTTAACTATGATACGTGAAGATTTCAAAATGTTAGATTTACCAACCAAAAAACACAATTTTATTGAAATTACAGAAGAAGCCAAACCAATGGAGTTATACAAATCTGATTTATTTGAATCCGAATCTATCTTAAGCAATCATATGAAAAAGCAACTAAGCCTATTAAAGTATGCTGACACTGTTACAATTGATTGTCACAAGCATGGTTTTATTAATTTCACTGCTGGTGGAATATTTTTTAGAAATGATAAATTCAAATATATATTAAATGTATCACCAATCTACATTGGAGGAAATTCAATCGAATCCACAGGAATTTGGGGTATAGAAGGTTCTAGAAACCAACAAGCGGTATCTGCTATTTATTTAACAAATTCAATAATGAGACCAAGTAAAGGAGGTTATGGTCGTTTATTAAAACGTTCTTTATTAAACTCGAAATTATTTTATTTGGGTTTATTATGTTTTAATGAATTAGAAACCACTCTTTTCAAAGTCCATACAACTACAAATGATCCAAGTCCTAGCGATTTAGAATACCTTAGAGGAAGAATCTTTGGATCTCTTGAAAATTCTGATGAAATTATTTTCCCAAATTTGAATGAAATTAATTGGGATGAAGGTTTACTAGAAAAACTATCAGAGATTGGCCCAGATACTGATATTATCAACTATTGTTTTAACCCAAAAAATAATACAAGTTATAACAACCTTCACCAATTAAATAAATTAATTGGAAACAGATTTGGTAACCACAATGCACCAGATATTGATTTATCATTATCTTCAACAATGTATGGTCATTCTAAAGGTATTGATTTTATCAATGGTTTGCTTACTGAAATGGGAATTAAAGAATCTTTACCATCTTCGATATTAGAAACTAAAATTCCTTTTGTACGTTCAGTATTGATGGATCCTTTTGTAAATGAAACTACCAATGTTTCATGCTTCACAAATATTTTCAAACTTTTAAAAAAAGAAATCAATAGTTTTATTTTAGATAATAATTTAATTAATTAAATAATAGTTTAAAAAATAAAATTTTTTATTAATTTTACAATTTTCATAAAAATAAAAAAACTAAATCTAAAAAAAAAAAAAATTAAAAAAAAAAAATTAAAAAAAAAAAAATTAAAAAAAAAAAAATTAAAAAAAAAAACGAATCAATTATTTTTTTTTATTTTTTATTTTTTTATAAATTTAAATATATAACTTTAATAATAATAATACTAATACTATTAGTATAGAAATATAAACAAAAATGACATCAATGAATTTACGTAGATTGTTGCCCAACAAGGCAAAGAGTGAAAGACCACAACCAGAAAACACTCTTAAAAAAGGTTTTTTAGAAAGAAAGAAAGATTATATAGAGCGTGCTAGAGATTACAGTAAAAAAAAAGAAACTATAAAAAAGTTAAAGTTACAAGCAGCTTTCAAAAATCCAGAAGAGTTTAGTTATAAAATGATTAGCAGTAAATTAGTTGATGGTGTACATAGCGAAATTAGTAAAACATCATTAAAAAAAGAACAAATTATAGATATTAAAACACAAGATATATTATATTTACAAAGTAAAAGAAAATCAGAGGATAATGTAATATTCATAATATTAATAATAATAGTAGTAGTAATAATAAAATAATAATAATATTAATAAATTAATAATATCTTTTTTTTTAAATATAGAAAATCGAAAGATTACAAGCAAATTTACAATATTTAGATTCAATTGAACCAAATGAACAAGTTATCTATTTAGATAATGAAAAGGATGTAAAAAATTTTTCAGCTACTAAATATTTTGATACAGTACCAGAAGCATTCGATGGTTCACTTTCAACTATACCAAAGCTTTCAAAACTCAAAGAAGGTTCACTTATTGTAAATAAAAAGACAGCACCAGCTTTAGGCGAATTAGAATCAATGACTACAACAGCATATAAAGAATTAAATGAAAGAAAACATAGAAGAGATCAATTATTTAAAGCTGAAACTGAATTAGCAAAATCTAAAATACAATTAAAAAGAGGAAATAGTAGTGGTGTTTCTAAAAAAGTTGGTAAAAAAGAAGTAGTTTTTAAGCAAGTTAGATCAAAATAAATAATATTAAATAAAATAAAAAAATAAAATTTATAAATATAAAAAAAAAGAAAAGAAAGAGGAATAGTTTTTTTTTTTTTTTTCTAATTAATTTATATATATAATATCTATATATAAAAATAATTTATTAAAAGAATTATGGAAAGTTAAAGTGTTTATAGATATTTATAAAATTTATATAAATTTTATAAAAAAAGACAAACGGTGATATGTAAAAAAAAAAACAAAGGTGATTTGAAATAACGAAAAGATTTATATAAATATTTTTTATATTGTTTTTTTTTTTTTTTTTTTTTAAATTATATTGAACCATTTAAAGTATAATTTGTTTTATTTGTATTTGTTGTATTTGTTGAATTTAAATTTCTTTCATTTGGTGTTTTTAATGATGAAAAAGTTAAAGGTTTAAAAGAGGAGTTTGTATATGTATTGGTTGCAGCGGCGGTATTTGGTATATTATATGAATTTGTATATGCTGTTTGGTGGGTAGTTGCAGCAGCAGTGGTATTATTTTGATTATTATTTGAGGTGCTCATATATGGGACACTTGCGGCAGTGTTAAAAAGTGGTAAAAGTGATGGAGTTACATATGATTCTAACATATTACCTCTGTGATAGGAGTATGAGTTGCTGTGGAGTAACAGTTTATGGAGATTGGTTTCTTCTTCTCTTTGTTTTTTAGCATATGCTAAACCACATGCATTGCAAAGTGTTGCTGGGCCAGATGGTCCTCTACGCCATTCTGGCGTATTTTTAGTTCCACAGTTATGGCAATAAAGTGTAGATTTATCAATATTTGCAGGTCTTCTTCTGTGGGTTTTCTTTACTGGTGGGTGTGGGAATGATTGGTCATAATAGGTAAAGTTGTTTTGATAAAGGTGTGATTGGGATATTTGATCATGATAGTTTGTGGAAGAATTTGGTTCATATTTAATGTGTCCAGTAGTTGTTGTGGTTAATTTGTTAGTTGTATTGCTATTGCTTGTAAGTGTGGTTTGGTTAGTTGAGGTTGATGATGGTGTTGTTGAGGCTAATGCTGATGAATAATAGTTGGTTGTATGTGATTTATTTAAATTATTATCTCCTAATGATGATAGTAGTGAAAGTGATGAAGTTGAATCATATTGATTTTTTGCCATTGTAGTTGGGTTACTACTGTAGTCATGTGATGGTGAGTGGCCCATACCTTGTGGAGTATTCATACCACTTCCAGTATTATTACCATAATAACTAGAGTTTAAGGACATGTAGTCATTTAAATCTCCTGTGGAGCCGTAGCTGCTTAAAGGGTTGGTTGGATTATGTGATTTTTGGAATGGTGATAATATTACAGATGATTGGAAATATGAGGTATCATTAGTTTGGGCGCCGGCTAATGATGAATAAAATTGGTTACTTAATGGGTGTGCGGTGGGATTGGTACCATATTGGTTAATTAATGGTGATGTTACGGATGAAGAAGTGGTCGAAGAAGAGGTTGGTGAGTGATAGGTTGAAACCATGCTGGAATAGTCAGTTGGATTCATATATGATTGTAAACTATTTGAGGATAAAGTACTTTGAACATTAAATGGTATGTTTGATGATGAGCTAATTGGTGATGCTCCTATGCTACTATTTGTTGATGATGAAGTTGGGGTAAGTGGGTTGGTTGGGGTAATTGAATATTTGGATGGTTTAGTTTTTCTTTTCTTTTGGTTATTTGGTGATGATGATGATTGATTTGATGTGTTGTTAGGATTTGAGGTATTTGCTGTATTTGTAGTATTTGTTGAGGAATTATTTACAGTATTTGTTGTATTTGTATTGTTTGAAGATGTATTATTGCCGCTGCTATTATCATCTTTTTTCGCATTTCTATCGACTTCAAATTCTAAATGATGAATTGAAGGTAATTTTAAATTTCCAGAGGTTTGCTGATTTTTATTATTAGCTGTGTTTGCAGTTGTTGTATTTGATGCTTGGGTGGTAGCTGTTTGTTGTATATTTGATGTTGTATTATCTTTTTTAATTTTAATATTTATTTCTTTAGTAGAGTCATTTATATTACTATTATTAAAATTTTGTTGCAAATTTGTATTATCTAAATTTGAATTTGTAGATTGATTAAAATCTTTATCATCTCGTAAAGCAAAAGGATCTATATAACTATTATTATTATTGCTTGTATTTATTTCGTCATCTCTTTGTCTCTTTTTATTTGGTGCACTTAAAACATTTGGTGATGTTGATGGGAGTGTATTATTGATAATTAAAGAAGATGAAGAGTTATTGCTACTATTTAAAATATTATTTGATGAGACATTTGGGGAGGAGGATTGATTTATATTTTGATTGCCCATATAACTTGTTGATTGAGAGACTGGTGAGTTATTGCAAGTTGAATTTTCTGATGTACTTGTATTTGTATTATCATGTTGCTGTGGTTGTTGTGGGTATCCAGTTGTATTTGTTAATGGAGGTTGGTTCCATCTAAGTTTGTTTGAGTCCATTCCTCCTAAAGATTGATCACCATTCATAGAATAGCTTGTTATATTTGACATTGGTTGTAGGTCAGGTTGATTCATAAAGTTAGGTTTAAAATTTCCATATAATTCAGTATCAGTATTACTGTTTGAGGTTGGCGAGTTGTTATAAAAATAGTTTATAGTATTAGTATTATTATTTAAATTATCGATACTATATAAATTTGATCCATTTGGAAAATCGACAGAATATTTCATAATTTTTTATTGATTAAAAAAAAAAAAACAAAAAATTTATATATTAAAATAAAAATAAATAAAAATAAATAAATAAATATAAATATGGTTATAATAATTTTTGGTGGAGATTATTATTCTTTTTTTTTTTTTTTATAGTTGATTTTTATATAATTGTTATTACTACAAGATTTAAAAAATGATCAATTCTTTTTTTTATTTTTTTAATTATTAAATATGTGTATTTTTTTAAAATTTAAAAAAATAAAAGATAAATTAAAAAAATAAAATAAAAAAAAAAATAATCTATTAAAAAGGTTTGTTGAATTGGATAATACGTTAAAAAGAAAAATAATTTTATATTGTTTTTATATAATGGGTATTGTTATTATTATTATGTGTTTATTTGTTTTAAAATAATATTATTATTATTATATTTTTTTTTTAAAGTTAATTATATATAACCCCATAAAACAATTTAAATAATTTGTAGTTGATATTTTAAAATCAGCTAGTTAAAAATAATTATTATATGCTTTTTTTTTTTTAAATGATTGGAATATTAATATAAAAAAAAATATTTTTATTTCTATTTTTTAATTGTTTTTTTTTTTATATTTTTTTTAATTTGTTTTTTTTTATTATTTTTTTTTGTTTCAATTTATTTTGAGGAATTAAATGTGATTGAGTATTGATTAAATAGGTAGTGTCTCTACTATTATATAGTATAATTAATTTTAATTTGAATTTATTAAATAGAAAAGAAAAAAAAAAAGAAGGGGTGGTGATGTATTAAGTTTTTTAAAAAAAATTATAACAAGTGTGTATGTGTTAGTGTGTTGATTTAAGTGAGTGTGGTGGTTTTTGTTAAATCAATTTAAAAAAAAAACGATGTAGTTAAAAAAGGTTATTAATTTAATTAAGAAGTGTATTTAAAAGAGAATAAAAAGTTTTGATAATATTTAAAATTTTGTGTGCCAAGTGAAAAATGTTTGTGTGTGTGTTTTTTTTTTTTTTTTGGTGATTTGGATTGGATAAATTAGAAAATCTTGTTTTAAACAAAATCAATAAAATTAATATTATTATAATAAAGAAATTGTTATATTTTGACAAATATATTAAAGTCAAATTTAAAAGAATGAGATTAAAGAAAATTTTGAAAAAAAATTGTTTAAAAAAAAAAAAAAGAAAATATAAAAATAGATTAAAAAAAAGTAATAATACCTTTTAATTAATTAATTTAAAATTTTAAATAGTTTTTTATATATTTGGTATAATTAATTTTATATTATCTTTTGAAAGGATTTAAAAATATAAATAAATACATATATATTTTAATTTAGTGTCAATGATTAATATTCTTTTTTTTTTTTTTGTTTTTGTTTTTTTTAAGGTGTACCACATTTTATGTTTTATGTATATTTCACAATATTAATAATGATAATAATATAATATTAATATTAATTATAATATAATTAAACATCATCATTATTATTATCATTATCAACATCAATAATGATTTATAACAACAATACAACAATACAACAATAATTATTATGTAATTGATAGTAAATTATTAATTGATAGGATAAATAGATAATATTTGAGTGAAAAAAAGGAAAAAATGGAGGTAGATATAAGTAAGAAAGAAAAGGTATAAAAAAAAATAAACAATTATAATAAAAGTATATTAATATTTATTTTTAATAATACTAATACTATTATTATACTACTATTATAAGGAATTATAATTTATGGTGAATAGGTGTGGTGTTTGTGTGTGTTTATCTGTAAGTTGTTTTTAATAAAATTAAACTGGTAAAAACTAATGATGATGATTTTTTTTTTTTTTAATGCATAAAAATTATTATATAATAGTAATGATTAATATGAGATTAAAAATTTTATCTGATGTGTGGGTGATTAAAGGAAAAAAAAACCACACACCAAAAACCACACACCAAAAACCCCCACACTAACAAACAAATTCTATTTTAAACAATATTAAATTCCAATGAT